ATGCGGTTGTATCGCAGAGCTTGGCTGTAGACGATGGATCGTGTGGTGTGGTCAGGGTGAAAGCTGGAGGCATGTAGGTAGGAATAGCGGTCAGTAGGTTTCCAGTATAGGGTGGTGTTTATGTGACCATCGTTTATTAGCACTGTAGTGTCCAGGAAGTGGATCTCTTGTGCGGACTGAACCAGGCTGAGGTTGATGGTGGGATGGAAATTGTTGAAATCATGGTGGAATTCCTCAAGGGCTTCTTTTCCATGGGTCCAGATGATGAAGATGTCATCAATATAGCGCAAGTAGAATAGGGGCGTTAGGGGACGAGAGCTGAGGAAGCGTTGTTCTAAATCAGCCATAAAAATGTTGGCATACTGTGGGGCCATGCGGGTACCCATAGCAGTGCCGCTGATCTGAAGGTATACATTGTCCCCAAATGTAAAATAGTTATGGGTAAGGACAAAGTCACAAAGTTCAGCCACCAGGTTAGCCGTGACATTATCAGGGATAGTGTTCTTGACGGCTTGTAGTCCATCTTTGTGTGGAATGTTGGTGTAGAGGGCTTCTACATCCATAGTGGCCAGGATGGTGTTATCAGGAAGATTACCAGCAGGAGAGTGAGTTTGTGTGTGTGGGTGGGGGGGTGAGAAAACCTGGATTTGTGCTGGAAATGGCCCAACTTGATTATCATACACATTGTAAGGAGAGTGATCACTTTAGATAAGCTATTACCAGCAGGAGAGTGGGGTGGGAGGAGGTATTTTTTCATGCTTTGTGTGTATATAATAAGATCTTCTACACTTTCCACAGTATGCATCCGATGAAGTGAGCTGTAGCTCACGAAAGCTTATGCTCAAATAATTTGGTAGAGTATTGAGGTCTGGCAGCTCTGATCTTTGGGGCTGCGTCCTGGAGTTGGTTCCCAAAGAACTTCCTTTTGGATCCGTTTGTATCGTGAAATTTGAGTCCTGTTTAGCTGTACCTTAACCAATCATTTTACTGAAATCTATCTAACCAATCCTAACATATTGTGACAAAATTCTCTCGACAATTATATCCCACCACCTTAATTAATTTACACCTAGCAAAAATTAATTATGTCACAGACAGAAACAATTAAAGAACCAGACAGAGACCAGACAGGTTAACAATAGGGAAGTGGGGACCATAATGACAAAACAATAAAGAAATGAGGCTTTCACAAACACAACTATTGAGAAATGATTTCTTGGCAGACAGGATGCTATTAAAGTAAGTTTTCTTTAGCCACCTTAAGATCTGTTTCTTTATCTGGTGACAGTGGGTACCATTAGGATGGGGGTCTCCTCCTTAACAGCTCGATATCACATTGTTTTAATGTAGTTTAGCTGGAATGTGAGGATGTGATTTTCTGCTTCTCAGCTAATGGCTGCTGCTGGGCTGCTCTTTTAATCTGGCTGCAGATGAAGGCCTTGTCCTTACAGGGCGGGGTGCCTGCGTGGTGACCTCTGGGTGGAGGGCGGGGTGGTGACTCACAGGGCAGGGCACAGCCCCGGCACAGCCCAGCCCAGGGCTGCACCTTGGGCTCTGTTCAGTTCCCCGTTTGCCCAGGCAGGGCTGTGCGGCCTCAGCTCCCTCCCAGCAGGACCTGGGCAGGATTTGGTCGCCCGCCCCCAGCTCACCTGGGGCATTGAGCGCTCTCCCCCTCCCCCACCCACCCCACCACTATCTGAGCCCTAGGATGCTCCCCGGCTACCTGGCTGTGAGACCTGGCAGCACCAAGGTCACCAGCTCCCAGGGACTAGAAGAGGGAGGAGCTGCCTGTGGCACTCGCTGGCCAGTGCTGAGCTCTGTGGCTGGGAGGCAGCCCAGGCCCCCTGCCCTTCATAGAATCTCAGGGTTGGAAGGGACCTCAGGAGGTCATCTAGTCCAACCCCCTGCTCAAAGCAGGACCAACCCCAACTCAATCATCCCAGCCAGGGCTTTGTCAAGCCTGACCTTAAAAACCTCTAAGGCAGGAGATTCCACCACCTCCGTAGGTAACCCATTCCAGTGCTTCACCAGCCTCCTAGTGAAACAGTGTTTCCTAATATCCAACCTAAACCTCCCACACTGCAACTTGAGACCATTACTCCTTGTCCTGTCATCTTCTACCACTGAGAACAGTCTAGAGCCATCCTCTTTGAAACCCCCTTTCAGGTAGTTGAAAGCAGCTATCAAATCCCGCCTCATTCTTCTCTTCTACAGACTAAATAATCCCAGTTCCCTCAGCCTCTCCTCATAAGTCATGTGTTCCAGTCCCCTAATCATTTGTGTTGCCCTCCGCTGGACTCTCTCCAATTTATCCACATCCTTCTTGTAGTGTGGGGCCCAAAACTGGACACAGTACTCCAGATGAGGCCTCACTAATGCCAAATAGAGGGGAATGATCACATCCCTCGATCTGCTGGCAAAGCTCCTACTTATACAGCCCAAAATGCTGTTAGCCTTCTTGGCAACAAGGGCACACTGCTGACTCATATCCAGCTTCTCATCCACTGTAACTCTTAGATCCTTTTCTGGAGCAGCCAGAGCTGTTGCATGCATGGGAGGGAACTGGGGGCAGGAGACACAAGGGTTGCATCTCCTTTGCACTGTGGCCCTTTTCGGCCCCTCTGGCAGGACTAGGGGCTGTTATTGCTCACCGCCCACCAGGGCTCTCTGAGCTACCGGCACCTCCTAGCCCTGGGGCAAGCAGCTCGAACTGGCAGGGGGACAGGTCCCCAAATGGCCCCAGAATGGAGGACAGTGCAATGGTGCTGTGAAGCCACCTCCCCTCAGTCCTGCGTGCAGGGACTCAGAAGGTGGGCCTGGGGGACTGGGGCTGGAGCGGGAGTCTGAGCACGGGGTAGGAACCCAAGGGGCAAAGGGATGCCCAAGGGCCCGTTGCAGGGGCACCACCTGGGAGCAGCAACCAGCCTGGGCTCGTGCTGCCTGGCACCACCCAAGGCCTTACCATCCGTGATGGCTTCCCATGCACTGATCTCCACGTGTCTCCGTGCCAGGCCAGGGGCGATGCCAGTGCAGGTACGTCAGCCCTGAGCAGCGCCCTGCACTGTGTGGGGGGATTGTGGGAGCTCCATCACTGGCCAGTCTTACACTCAGATCAGCTAGTTTTCCACAAGCTCTGCCCTGGACATCAGAGTGGGGCAGGGCTCTGGCCTGTGACAGGGGCTGGGGGTCAGACTAGCTGATAGCAATGGCTCCTTCTGGCCTTGCAGTCTTTGACTTGCCCCTCTAGGGCCCCCTAGGACATTGCGGGGGTGGGGAATCACCAAGGGGCAGGTGTGCCCCAATCTTCCCCTTCCCAACTCTTTGGCCCTTCACGCCCAATCAGCATCAGGCTTGTAAAGGCAGCCCCCTCCCCCCTCACCGCTGGGGAGCTGAAAAGGGCCTCGGGCAGTGATGCCTGAGGCCTGGCTATTTCTGACCCACTCTACATGCACATGAAATCTCCCCGGTTTGGCTCGAGCTCCGTGTCGCCCGCTCTCCAGTGGGCAGCACTGCTGGGAGCTTTGTGCTGCTCCTTGCAGCTGGTGACATAATCTGCATTGCTCAGTGTCCACTTCCAGCCAAAGCAGGCCAGGCTGCTTCCTTGTCGCCTTGTCACTCCCCCGCACCGCCCCAGGCCAGGCAGGCATGGGAACTTCCCATGCAGGGAAGAGATGGAAACCGAATCTGATGCCCCTGCCCGACTGCCAAGGAGTAATCCCTGGCTTCCAGCAGCAGCCCGCATGGCCCCTCCCTTGTCACCCAGCTGGGCCTTTGCAGTTTCGTTTCTCTAGCAAATGGAAAATGAAACTTAGCACATCAAAACCGGGGAAATCCTTAGCTCAGCTGCTGCTAGTTAAGGTGGACTTAGGGAGCAGCTCGAAAGTGCTCGCCCGGGTGCTCCTCTGTCCTGGATCCCACACTGGGGTGCGCTACAGATGCCCCCCCTCCCCCAAACCCCGCAGCCAGGCTTGAAAATGCCCCTCAGCCAGGGGGCGGGAGTCGCTGTCCAGGGCAAGGAGGAACCTCACCACCACTTAACCAGCCCTTTCATAAAGGAAGGGGCCGGCCTGGCAGGCTTGCTGCTGGAGACGAAGCGCAGCGATGGGGAGGCTGCCGTGAGGTTGCAGGCAGCCAGCTCCAGGACCCCCGCTGCTGCTCTGGGGTGTCCAGACAGCAGGTGGCAGAGTGACATTAACAAGACTCTGGGCTGGGGGTTCACGTCCCCCCCACCGCCCTTCATTTGGATCTCATTGATTCCTAGATTCCAGGGCCAGAATGGACTCTGCCCTCCTGTCCAGCACAGGTCAGCAACCCTGCCCTAAACTAACCCTGAGCGCAGCTCTGCCAGCAAAGCATCAGGTCTTGCTCTAAAAATGGCCAGGGATGGAGGAGCCACCAGCCCCCTTGGTACGGTGTTCCAGTGGTTAATTACACTCTCACTCTCCCAGTTTACAGAGAGTCCCTGTGTCCCAGCCTGGGAGCATGAAACTGACACTGATGAGATCAGTGTCATAGAATATCACAGGGATGGAAAGGACCTCAGGAGGTCATCTAGTCCAACCCCCTTCTCAAAGCAGGACCAATCCCCAATTTTTGCCCCAGATCCCTAAATGGCCACCTCAAGGATTGGAACTCACAACCTTGGATTTAGCAGGCCAATGCTCAAACCACTGAGCTATCCCTCCCTCCCAGGTGGAGTGGGGGAGATAGATACTCAGGTTAGGGGCTGGCATGAAGGACAGCGCCCCCAAGCAGGGCCTAGGGGCAGCCCCCTCCCAGGAATCCCAGCAGCTGGGGATGGAGGAAGTATGTTGGGCTGCCTCTGGAACTGGGGATGAGGACCAGCCCCCAGGCTTCTCTCCAGGCCCATGCCCAGCAGGTGTCTGGTGGACAGTTCGAGTCCTGTAGCCCAGGCCACCTTAACAAGCTCAGTCTGACGCCATCCACGGGGGAGGAGATCAGCAGGGTTGGGCTGTGCCAAGGATGCTTAAAAGCAGCAGCAGCAGAGGAAGGCAGGGACAGGGAGCAAAGCAGCAGAGATGGAGCTGTACCAGGTGCCCGCCGGCTCACTGGATGCCTGGATCGCAGAACATCTCCAGCCCAGCGAGGAATTCCGGCTGCAGGTGAAAGACACTGTCCGGAGGATCTGTGATTTTCTGAAGGAGATGTGCTTTGACGACATCAAGGTGTTCAAGACGGTGAAGGTGAGTCTGTTCTGGACCAGCTGCCGGTGTAAAAGAGCATGTCCGGGCTCCTTTGGTGCAGGCTGTCACGGAGTCCCTGGGCGATGCTCTGGAACTGCTCCCCATGAAGCCAGTCAGGACTCTGGGGCAGTCGCCTTTCTGTGAGCAGCCTGTCTTCAGGACACACAGCTCACACAGCTTCCACCTTCCTGGGTCTGACCTCGGAGCATTCAGCATCCTCTGCCCCTCCGTGCGCTTCCCCCAGCGAGTCCGCTCAGGAGGGGCTCCTGGGGAAGCCAGAGGGTCCTGACCCCCAACTTCGCAGTCAGACGTGACTCTCAGCCAGCCAGTAAAACAGAAGGTTTATTAGACGACAGGAACATGGTCTAAAACAGAGCTTGCAGGTGCAGAGAACGGGACCCCTCAGCTGGGTCCATTTTGGGGGGCAGTGAGCCAGACAACCACGTCTGCACTTCACTCCATGTCCCAGCCAGCCCCAAACTGAAAACCCCCTCCAGCCCCTCCTCCTCTGGGCTTTGTTCCTTTCCCGGGCCAGGTGGTCACCTGATTCCTTTGTTCTCCAACCCTTCAGCTCTCACCTTGCAGGGGGGGAAGGGCCCAGGCCATCAGTTGCCAGGAAACAGGGCATTGGCCATTCTCTGTGTCCAGACTCCTGCACACACCTGCCCTCTAGGGCTCTGCAATGATCATACACCCTTACTCCACCCCCTAGATACTTAAGAACTGCCTAGGGGAAACTGAGGCACCCCCACACTATTCAGAGGAAACATTAAGAACAGTCCCACTTCGTCACACAGGCGAAAGTCTGCGTGCCTACGCTGTGATCAGGGCAAGCCTAAACCACCAGCCAAGGGATGCCGAAGGGGGCTCCCACTTACCGCTGGCTGCAGGGGGCATTATCCAAAATCCGCCCTGGCTTGCCAGTGGGGTCAGGTAGGAACATAGGAGTTGCATTGTCAGGTCAGAGCAGTTTTAGCCCAGTAACCTGTCTCTGACACTAACCGACACCAGCTGCTTCAGAGGAAGGCACAAGAGCCCACTTCGTGGACAATTATAGAATTATTTGCCTATAGGGGAAGTTTCTTTCTGACTACAGGCTGTTAGTGGTCGGTTTATGCTCTGAAGCATGAGGGTTTGTCTCCCATGGACATTTCCCTTCCTGCCGAAAACAAGTAGGGATGTTCTAGTTATCCTTCCAATGTCTAATCCTGCGGAGAGGGCTGAGAAGCTCATGGCCTCTTTGAGCGAGTTCCACAGGTTAACTATATGCTGGGTCACAAAAAATACCTTTGAGCCGTTTTAAATGTGTTGCCTTTTAATCTAGCATTATTAGACATCCAATTTTTCTTCTCTGAATCAATGGCTCTCAACCTTTCCCCTGTTGGGTCACGACCTTGTAATCAGCACTCCCTTTACCAAAAACAGGACAGGAAGTTTGCAAAACCTCTCCTCAGTCCCATTTATTACCTCCAGAAAAATTACACTAAAAGAGAGTTATTGAGATTGCAACTCAAACATTAGGAAATGCCAGAGGGAAGGTGGCCTGTTTAACCTTAATTCAGCCCCATTGTGCATATGTATTACAATACAGGCTTTAATTACGTGATCACATATTATTTTTTCCATGGGACCCTGCTTCATTCAGTGCACAGGGTGGACTTGTTCTACGGGTGAATCAGGGCCAGGTAGTGAAGGAGACTGTTGTCTGTAGGACCCCTACAGACTTTGCAGCAGATGGAAAATGTGCAATGAATGGGGCAGGGGGTTGCAGAGAGAGAAAGGAAGGTCTCCTGGGTAAGACAGTTGAATGCTTCCCTGGAGAACTGGAGTCTATCCCTGCCTCTGCTACTGAGTTCCTGTGTCATGCTGGGCAAGTCACTTAACCCAAACTGTTCCCAAAGTGTGCATTCTTCATTTTTGGGGTGCCCAACTCAAGCCCTGGGCTCTGATTTGCAGAAGTGCTGAGTGCTCACAGCGGCGACTGAAGCCAACGGGAGCTGGGCTTTGTCCGTACAATGTTCTGTATAAATGCTATGTTATCTGTGGGGCTGGCCAAACTCTGACACATCTGTACTGCGCACGTGCAAAGGGAGATATTTCAAAGGTTCTTAGTTTGGTCAAAGTTGGGTGGATTTTGACGGGCATGGCAAAAGGCGTAAGGCAAAAGGCTTATCCCTGAGACGCAGGCCACCCTGCTGCCAAATTTCAAGTCTCTGCCCCATAGCGTACGTGGGGGCCTGATCAGAATGGGATGCGGGGGGAGGGCACCCCAGCAGTGTACACTGCAACACTGGATTCAATATTTCCTATCCCATCCTAACACTTCTGGTATGTTTCTGGCTGCCCAGCAGGGGCCGTTGTGCCTGAGGGGTGACCTGGCTGAGTGGGTGCAGGGGCACAGCCCCCATGCGGCTCAGCGCCCTGGGGTTGTTGAGAGGGCAGCGCAGTGAGCAAATGCTTCTGTTCCGTGGCAGGGCGGCTCCGCGGGGAAGGGGACAGCCCTGAAGAACAATTCGGATGCAGATCTGGTCCTTTTCCTCAGCTGCTTCTGCAGCTACCGGGACCAGCTGGAGAACCGTGCGGCTGTGCTTGACACCATCAGGCAGAAGCTGAACCAGTGCCGACAGACCATCGCCTTCAGCATTGACGTGGAGGTTTCCCAGCCAAAGGAGAAGGGCACCTGCCCGCGCTCGCTCTCCATCATCATCCAGTCAAAGAGGAGGCAGGAATCCATCGAGGTGGACGTGCTCCCAGCCTATGATGCCTTAGGTAGGGACTGTATCCCTGCCCCTCAGCTCGGCCTCCAGGGATCCAGCAGGTTTGGGGGTACCCACTCCCCTCAATGTCCCCAGGGCTTATCCTGACAGAGCTCATGGAAATGAAGGTGCAGCCTGTGTATGGGACACGGGAATAGCCCAAGGCCCATTGGGACAGGACTCCCCTCAGATCTGTGTGGTGACCCTCCCTCCCCTCTCTCCCACAGGGCAGGTGACTCCTGGCAGCAAACCTTCCCCCCAGGTCTACGAGGATCTCATTCGGACCAGAGCCAAGCCCGGTGAGTTCTGCACCTCCTTCACCGAGCTCCAGAGGGACTTTGTGAAGCGTCGCCCGGCCAAGCTCAAGAACCTGCTGCGGCTGGTCAAGCACTGGTACAAAGAGGTGAGGTGCCCTGCCCTGCCCCAGTCACTGATACCCCCCTTGCTCCTTCTCACCGGGCCACCAGCCCTGGGGGTTACCATTGTATGTTAATGCAGGTTCAGATGGAGAGCTCTCCCGGCAACCTCCCACACCTTAAAACCCCCTGGAATAAAGCTACTCACTGGAGCCCCTCCACCTGCCAGGGCTGCTCAAGTCTTTCCAGAAGATCACTTTGCTTCCCATTATTTTGCTCCCAGGAGATGGTGGTCATCTCAGCTTAGGCTGGTCTTTCCTAGCTCACTGCTCTCCTGGATGCTCTTGGGTTGGGCTCTGGCGGCTGGGTTCAATCATCCCGTCAAAGGGCCCCAGGTGTCGCTGGAGGCAGGCAGGACACTGGACTAGATGGATCTTGCCCCTGATCCAGTCTCGCAAGTTTGCTGAGTCCCTCTCTAGCAGTCCCAGAATATCTGTCCAGATCACTGGTCCCCAAACTGTAGGGTACACCCCACCAGGGGTACACAGAGGAACATTAACTGTGGACATGGCAGGGCCTGGGACAGCCTCCACAGAGGGCATGGAGGGAGCGCCACCCAGCCCCGCTCTGCCTCCAGCTCTGCCCCCAACCCCATGGCTATGCTCCTGGCCGCAGCACCAGCCACAGCTCCGGCCATGGCCTTCGCCCCCGGCTCCCAGTTCCCACATGCGTGCAGACAGATTACATTACAGTTAAGGGGGGCGCGACATGAAAAGTTTGGGGAGCACTGGTTTCGATGGCTTCGGTCACTTTCAGGCAAGCGCTCACAAGATCTTCTGATCATGAACTGGACCAGAGGTTAAACAACAGAATCGTTGACCACACTGAACAGTCTGATTGGGAAACAGATTCCATTAAAAATCATTCAAAAACAAAACGACAATTAATATAGCAATACAGATAGATATAAATTCCTCATTGGAACTAAATTCTGTAGCTTCATAACAAACACACACTCAAACATCCAGTCTCACATCTCTCGTCCTCTAATCGCAGGGCAAGCAACTGCACAAAGAGCAAATTTCAGATTATGATTTCACGACCTATTTGCTGCTCACTTGAGTGGAAATTACACTAGCCTGTCAAATGACACTTTACAGGGTTGGGGGAGAAGGATTTTCTTTATCCTAATAAACACCTGAAATGATTCAGTGCCTGATGCCACAGCCTGTGGGGACTTCACAACGGCAGTGGGAATAAAATGTGGAGCCTTCTGTTTCAGAAGCACGGACCTCTGCCACCTGAGCTAAAGGAGAATCCCCACCAGATGTTAGCAATATAGGGCCTTGACACACAACAGAGCAGGTCTGATTACATGCTCTCTCTCTCTCTAGCTAGTACATTACATCCTGGCTCCCATTCTCTGGCCACTGCTCAGTAGTTGAGTGTTGTGGTGAGCACAGGACATGGGCTGGGGAGAGGTAGCGGGAGGTCACCCACCTGACCATGCAGCAAGAGGGATTTGAGGGCCCTGTACCCCCACCCCATCCCGTGTCTCAGGCCGGCTTCCCCCCATCTCCTTAACAGCTTTCCAAGACGACGTCGGGCTTGCCCACCAAGTACGCCCTGGAGCTGCTGACCATCTATGCCTGGGAGAGCGGCACCAAGGGGGCGGAGAACTTCAGCACGGCCGAGGGGTTCCGCACGGTGATGGAGCTGCTGTGCCGGTACCAAGAGCTCTGCGTCTACTGGACCGAGTTCTACGATCTCCAGTCCTCCGTGATAGGGCCCCATGTCAAACGGCTGCTGCGGGAGCCGTGGTGAGACCCCTGCATCTGCTCCTCTCGTCTCTGCGCGGCTCGCTCACGTCCAGCTGCAGCTCGGCCTTCCTTCCTGCGTGGGAGGGAGGCTCTGTCCTACCCTGGGACACCCGAGCAGAGAACTGGCAGCTCTGCTCAGCATCTCTCAGCCCTGCCACCCCAGAGGCCCCTGCGGTTACACTCAGCACCAGCCAAGCAATACGGCCATCCCAGCACGCGCTGCGCCACGTGTAGCCAGGTTGCCTCTGGGGGCGTTCGCCCAAGGGGAGCCCTGGCCCCATGGAGCTCACCGGCCAAACCCCATTAACTGAAGGGGGCAGGATTCCACCCGGCAGCACCCGTATGAGCAAGAAAGGGTTGGGGGCTCACAGCCTGGCACAGGTCTGTCCCCACTCCTCCACTGTTAGCCTGTGCCTCAGTTTCCCCCAGGGGCATGGTGGGGATGACGACACTGACAGGGTGAGGGCTCGCAAATGAGTGTGTGTGGTACCCAGCAACACCCCTGGGCTGGCATTAGAGTGCAATAGTACCACAGGGACTAGGGCAGCGGCTTCTCCAGCCCCTCAGCTGCCTGCACACTGGCTCTTCCAGGGTGGGTGACACCGACCATACTCACCCTCCACCATTGCCCCATCCCCAAGCCCCTGGGATTCCGGCTCCAGCCGGCCAAGCCTGAGACTCCCTCCTCCAGCTCCCCTCCGCACCCCAGGGCCCTGCCTGAGCCGGGGCAGGCACCGTCAGCAGCAGGCAGCTGGGATGTGTCAGCAGCCTGGACGCAGAGCAGGGCCTGGCTCACGGGGGAGAGGGAGCGGGCTGGGGCAGACAGCAGAGCCACTGGCCACATGGGCAGGTGGCTCAGCCCAAGAGCCATCGACAGAGAGAATCCATTGTGTTCACAGCCCCGTGATCCTGGATCCAGCCGACCCGACGGGAACCTTGGGGCAGGGAAAGAGCTGGGACCTGCTGGCGAGAGAAGCCGCAATCTGCCGGGACCAGCTGTGCTGTAGGAACAGCCTCGGCCCCATCCGCTGCTGGGACGTGCAGGTACCGACGCCTCTCGGGGTCCCTTCCCACCCCCGCCTGTGATGAGCTCGTCACTGAGCCTCCGGAGCATGGAGTAGCCGGGTAGCTCCCCTCATGGCTCCTGCTCCTGCCCCACTCACCACAGCTGCCCCTGCTGGGAAAGGCTGGGGCTGGCCTAACTGGGAGCTCCCCGCAACAGCCAGTGCCCCACTCCGCTCCCCACAGCACCCCCTGCTGGGAGAGGCTGGGCCTGGGGTAGCCAGGGCCTCCCCCCACAGCCAGCATTCCTGCCCCCTCCCCACAGCACCCCCTGCTGGGGAGGCTTTGGCTGGCGTAGCTGGGAGCTCCCGCACAGCCAGCACTTCTGCCCCCTCCGCACAACACCCCCTGCTGGGAGAGGCTGGGGCTGGAGTAGCTGGGAGATCCCCCTCCCCCCACAGCCAGCGCTTCTGCCCAGCTCCCTGCTACAGAATCTGATGGGCCCAGAGCTGTGGGAAACGATTGTGTTGAGATTCCACTCCCCAGCAGAGGTTCCTCTGCCGCGTGCCATTAGACGTTCCCCGCTGCCCCACCTGGGCTGTCCGACCCCCACCCATCCCCATCTCCTTGTCTCTCTTCCAGCCAGCCAGACCCATGCAGGTGACGGTGAAGCAGCTCTCAGGGGTCAGCCAGGACCTGGGGCTGAGCCCCTACACGACCATCTGGGAGATTAAGGAGGAGCTCGAGCGTGCCTGGGACATCTCTCCCTTCACGCAGCGCCTGACCCTGCAGGAGCCTGGCCTGGGAAACCAGCTGCTGCTGGACGATCAGACCCTGGCATCACACGGCATCTTCTACGACACCACGGTTCTGATGCTCACGACCGAGCCCCAGTGGATGGAGATCTTCGTGAAGGACCATAACAGCAGAACCCTGCTCTATGGTGTCCGCGCCAGTGACACCGTCCTGGGCCTGAAGAAGAAGATCGAGGATCGCACGGGTGTCTCCACCAGCCAACAGCGCCTGACGTTCAACAGCAAAGAGCTGCAGGACGACTGCACGCTCGCCCATTACAGGATCCGGAGCAAGAGCACCATCTACCTGCTTCTGCGCCTCAGGGGTGGGTAAGATGCTCACTGGGTCACCGGGACCTGCACCTTCATGGGCAGGCGTCTGCTGTGTCCCCAGCCAAGAGAGCAGCACAGCGGGCTATGTTTCCCAAGAGCCTTTGCATGATAATTCAGGGCTTTGCTAATGTGCCCCTGTCACCTTAACAGTGAAATATAATATCTCACTAAAAGGTGACAGAGGGCCAGAAAGAGTGAATTAACACACAGACTGACCTGACCCATGGCCGAACTCTAAAGACTTGTTAGGAAGATATGTGAATGAATAGAGCTTTGAAATGCAAGCCTGCCTTGTTAGAAGGGTAGCTGTTTGCTCAGGTCTTGTGATGGAAGCAAACAAGTCTTGTCTATTGCTGTAGCTTTGATTCAAAGATCAAAAAAGAGATTTTAACATTTATGATGACACTTGAGTGAAATAGTATTATTGTCTGTATGTCTCTTTGAAGGTTGTGATAAACTGTATATGAACCATTTAATGGATAAATTACACTATGCTAATTGCCAGGATGGTTGGGAGACAGAAGATTAAGCTTATTCTCTCAGGCCAAGAGGCTGGTGGAAAATGTATAAAAACCCTGGGACACCATCCTGTTTTAACTCAGATCTGCTTTGGGTTTCAAGAAGGGGATACCCTGAGCCATAAGGATTGGGATCCCCAGTCACTGACTGGAGTCACCCCATGGACATTGGACTATACCTAAAAGGACTTTTAGACACTACAAACTCATCTCTGATATGTTTCTGAACCTCAAGAATTGAATTCAAGTCTGTATGCATATTGATCTTTTAACCAACACACACTCTCTTTTCTTTTTAAATAAAGTTTAGTTTAGTTAACAAGAATTGACTGTAGCGTGTATTCTGGGTAAGATCTAAGTTATAACTGGACATGGGTATGTGGCTGATCCTTTGGGGTTGGAAGAACCTTTTCTTTTTTTTGATGAGATAAGATTTTCAGTAATCATCATCATATCTGACCTGTGTGTCTGGACAAAGGCCTGAGGCTGGACACTTTAAGGGAACTGCATTGTCTGGACTTCTGAGTAACCAGTGAGGTAATACAGAAGCTGCTTTGTGCTGGCTTGGTAAATCTAAGAATTGGAATATCCACCAGCTTTTTGGGGTTTGTTTGCTTTTCACCTCAGCTGGCTCCCACGGGCACCATCGTTACACCCCCACGTTCCAGAATCGGCACCACATCCTTCTGTAGTGCAGGCTGTCCCCACACCTCCCGCTGCAGCTCCTGGGAGCTGTTTCCCCCCTGCTCCGCAACCCTTTCGCGATGTACTGCCCCCAGTGCAGAGCTGGGTGCTGGGCGCCCACCAGACATTGTTCATTAGTCCCGTTGTTGTAGTCCCCTTCCTCCTCCCTGTCCCAACTCCACTGCTGTGTGTCACCATCTCTGTTGTTGTGTCATGCCAAATCCCAACCGACGTTTGCCACTTGGAATCTGAAATAATAAGCTTCTGCTAATCCCGCCTCCTGGGTGTTCTGTCCATGGGATATGGGTCCCGCCTGCCCTATGAATACAGCCGGGCGTCTAGGATTCAGAGATTCTTTCACTGAGATCATTCGGTCTGACCTCCTGTGCCACACGGGCCTGAGACCTGCCCCACAATAATTCCTGCAGCAGATCCAGCAGCAGTTCTGTGACCGGGTCATGGCCCCCTCATCCGACCCAGCTACAGCAAACTCAGCTGAGTTGTCTCCCCCAGCAGCTTTGTTCAATGCACACAACCCCGCCGGCTGCATCAGGCCCCCCCACATGTGCTATAATACATATTTTGCTTACTGTATTTTTCACTCCATGCATCTGATGAAGTGGGTTTTAGCCCGCAAAAGCTTATGCCCAAATAAATTTGTTAGTCTCTAAGCTGCCACAAGGACTCCTCCTTGTGAGTGACTCTCAATCAGCATTTGCATTGCAAACCAATTGCTGAGAACCCAGGAGAATAGGGTTAGGTCATTTTTGCTGCATTCCCTGAAATCAATTTATTCCTGGACTTGTTTGGGAACAAACGGAGCCTGGATTTTTTCTTTCTTTCTAATAACAAGAAGTGCTCTGCGTTAGATGCGCTGAAATACTGAGAGCACCTTCTAGATATCACCGGCTCATTGGCTAATGACAGACAAGAGAAAGCTCGGCTAGAGGTCATATCTGTTGGATAATGTGGTATATTTGGGTGTTTTGTTAACTGCTTTTGATTTACAAAGGGAGGAATAAGGGGAACAGAGAGAGATCAGGCTGCGAAAGAGAGAATTAAACAGAAGCAAGGAGTGTGATGGATTCTTTTTCACTGGCAATTTTTAAAACAAGAGTGGATATTTTTCTAAAGGATCTGCTCTAGTTCAAAGGAGAATGAATTCAGGGAAGTTTTCTGGCAGGAGGTCTGTCATAAATATAAAGGGAAGAGTAAACCCCTTTAAAATCCCTCCTGGCCAGGGAAAAGCTCCTCTCACCTGTAAAGGGTTAAGAAGCTAAAGGTAACCTCACTGGCACCTGACCAAAATGACCAATGAGGAGACAAGATACTTTCAAAAGCTGGGAGGAGGGAGAGAAACAAAGGGTCTGTGTGTCTGTCTATATTCTGTCTTTGCCAGGGATAGACCAGGAATGGAGTCTTAGAACTTTTAGTAAGTAATCTAGCTAGGTACGTGTTAGATTATGATTTCTTTAAATGGCTGAGAAAAGAACTGTGCTGAATATAATAACTATTTCTGTCTGTGTATCTTTTTTGTAACTTAAGGTTTTGCCTAGAGGGGTTCTCTATGTTTTGAATCTAATTACCCTGTAAGGTATCTACCATCCTGATTTTACAGGAGGGATTTCTTTATTTCTATTTACTTCTATTTTTATTAAAAGTCTTCTTGTAAGAAAACTGAATGCTTTTTCATTGTTTTCAGATCCAAGGGTTTGGGACTGTGGTCACTTATGCAAATTGGTGAGGCTTTTTATCCAACATTTCCCAGGAAAGGGGGGGGTGCAAGTGTTGGATCTTAAGAACAATCCTCCCAACACTTGCACCCCTCCCAAGCAAATTAGGGCATGTCCTTTCCCTTTGGTTCTTGAGTCCAGCAACCCAAAAATCACCTAAAGTCCCAAGACCCAAAAATCCCTGTCCTTGGTCAGGGCAGCCCCAGAGTTCAAAAGTTTATCTGCAGAGTTTTACCTCCCAATCTAGGAGGAGATTGGAGGGGGGTTAAGGGGCACCTTAGGTGGTCCAAAGCTGCTGGCCCCACCTCTCCATGGGGCTCCGCTCTGCCAGCCACCCCATGAGCTGCTCTAGCCATCCGACAAACTGCTCTGCTTCACCAGCTGCTCTGCTCTGCTCGCTGTCCCGCAAACTGCAATGCTCTGCCAGCCGCCCCGCAAACTGCTCCACCATATATTTTCAAAAAAAGAAAAGGAGTACTTGTGGCACCTTAGAGACTAACCAATTTATTTGAGCATAAGCTTTCGTGAGCTATAGCTCACTTCATTGGATGCATAAAGTGGAAAATGCAGTGAGGATGTTTTATACACACAGACCATGAAAAAATGGGTGTTTATCACTTCAAAAGGTTTTCTCTCCCCCCACCCCACTCTCCTGCTGGTAATAGCTTATCTAAAGTGATCACCCTCCTTACAATGTGTATGACAATTTGTGCCATTTCCAGCACAAATCCAGGGTTTAACAAGAACGTCTGAGGAACGGGGGGGGGGAAACAAGGGGAAATAGGTTACCTTGTATAATGACTTAACCACTCCCAGTCTCTATTCAAGCCTAAGTTAATTATACCCAATTTGCAAATGAATTCCAATTCAGCAGTCTCTCGCTGGAGTCTGGTTTTGAAGTTTTTCTATTGTAATATCGCAACTTTCATGTCTGTAATCGTGTGACCAGAGAGATTGAAGTGTTCTCCAACTGGTTTATGAATGTTCTAATTCTTGACATCTGATTTGTGTCCATTTACTCTTTTACGTAGAGACTGTCCAGTTTGACCAATGTACATGGCAGAAGGGCATTGCTTGCACATGATGGCATATATCACATTGGTAGATGTGCAGGTGAACGAGCCTCTGATAGTGTGGCTGATGTTATTAGGCCCTGTGATGGTGTCCCCTGAATAGATATGTGGATACAGTTGGCAACGGGCTTCAAAACCAGACTCCAGCGAGAGACTGCTGAATTGGAATTCATTTGCAAATTGGATACAATTAACTTAGGCTTGAATAGAGACTGGGAGTGGTTAAGTCATTATGCAAGGTAACCTATTTCCCCTTGTTCCCCCCCCCCCCCCCCCCCGTTTCTCAGATGTTCTTGTTAAACCCTGGATTTGTGCTGGAAATGGCCCACCTTGATTATTATACACATTGTAAGGAGAAAAGGAGTACTTGTGGCACCTTAGAGACTAACCAATTTATTTGAGCATGAGCTTTCGTGAGCTACAGCTCACTTCATCAGATGCATCTGATGAAGTGAGCTGTAGCTCACGAAAGCTCATGCTCAAATAAATTGGTTAGTCTCTAAGGTGCCACAAGTACTCCTTTTCTTTTTGCGAATACAGACTAACAGGGCTGTTACTCTGAAACCTGTCATTGTAAGGAGAGTGATCACTTTAGATAAACTATTACCAGCAGGAGAGTAGGGTGGGGGGAGAGAAAACTTTTTGAAGTGATAAACACTCATTTTTTCATGGTCTGTGTGTATAAAACATCCTCACTGCATTTTCCACTTTATGCATCCGATGAAGTGAGCTGTAGCTCATGAAAGCTTATGCTCAAATAAATTGGTTAGTCTCTAAGGTGCCACAAGTACTCCTTTTCTTTTTGCGAATACAGACTAACACGGCTGCTACTCTGAAACATATATCTTCAGGCTCCCCCACTACTTAACACAACTGTTAGGCGGCTTATTCCTTCACCCACTTACTTCCCTGGTCCTTCTCGCTTGAACAGAGAGCAACAATACCCGAAGTCCAAACGTGCAAACAATTCAATGTTTATTGGGGTGAACTTCCAGCAAGCATGATTCCAGTTTCCTTCCTTAGTGTCCCCCTTCCCAGCTCTGACACCACAGAGCCTTACACCTGTGTCCCTGTTCCCATTCCTGCCCTTAGCCAAACATGATTCCAATTTCCTTACCCCCATTCCCTGTTCCCATTTCCCCCTTTAGCAAAACATGATTCTAATTTCCCCCCCACACACACACTCACTTCCTGATTATATAGTAAAACTTGAGTTCTGCTTAACTATACCTTAACCAATCATTCTACTGAAATTTAACTAATCAATCCTAACATATTGTAATATGATTAGCTAACCAGTTATATCCCACCACCTTAATTAGTTTACACCCAGCAAAATTAATTATACAGCAGACAGAAACAATCACAGAACCAGACAGAGACCATGCCAATAAACAATAGCAAAGTGGGAACTATAATGACAAAACAATACAGAAGTGAGGATTTCACAACTACATCTATAAAGACATAAGAGTTTCCCAGCTGTGTCTATTGATAAGTGAGTTCTTACCAGGCAGAAAACTATCAACCTAAATTTCCTTTTACATCTTCTAGGCACTTCCCTTTCTCTGGAGGGGATAGGCATTATCAGGACAGGGTTGTATTCCTAACAGCCCAATAGCATCTTCTTTCAATGTGACTAGTTTGGAATGTGAGGATGTGACCGGTCGCTTCCCAGCTTATGGCTGCTTCTGCTGCTTAGCCAAAGAACCTAAGAACAGGGCCTCAGACTGTCACAGTAAGAGAAGGACCTTACACTAGCAGACAGTGATTTTGATTCTTTCTTTTATACCTCAATAACTAGCCAAGTGATAAGAATACACTTAAATTCTTAGAGTACAGGCCTTTACATCTATATCCTAACAACAACACTCAGTGATTTCAGCTCTTAGTAAAATTAGCTCTTTTGTGATTTCAGCTTGTAGTAGGGGAGCCTTAGTACTGGTGCACCATTGGCCCAAAGTGAATCCAGCTCAACAGCCTGTAATTAGACTCCTAATGAAATCAAAATTAGCTCTGATATTCCACAACGGAAAGAGAAGGCAATACAGTTAACATGTAGGACCCATACCACCACATATTACTATCTAACCCCAACCTCTCTCAATTCAAAGAGTTTTGGAACCCGTGTTCCTTGTCTAGTGAGTGCTACTTAGTTGATGGCGAGTCCCTCCATCATAACAAAAGTCCAAGTACAGTTCCACTGTCCTTGATTCCCATAATCAGGGTAATAACATTTTATTCTTCCAATAACAGAGACACTGGGGATCCCACAGCAGCCAGAGTGACCATTTGGGCAGCTATGGCCTCATTCTAGGCGGGGTGAGTGTGCCTATGCAAATGAGATCCGCCCCTGAAGTTCTTTTCCACAACTTGCCACACCTCACCACCAGATGTCAGGGTGGAGCTCATCCTGACTCTGCTTACATGAATAAATCTTTAGATTTTAGATTCTAAAGGACTGGCAACAGCGTGATTTGTGGGTAAGATCTGATTTGTATATTGACCTGGGTCTGGGGCTTGGTCCTTTGGGACTGGGAGAACCGTTTTTCTTTTACTGGGGTATTGCTTTTTATAACCATTTGTCCCCATAATGAGTGGCACTGGTGATGATACTGGGAAACTGGAGTATCTAAGGGAATTGCTTGTGTGACTTGTGGTCAGCCAGTGGGGTAAAACCGAACTCTTCTCTGTTTGGCTGGTTTGGTTTGCCTTGGTGTGCGTAGAAACCCCAGCCTTGGGCGGTAACTGCCCTGCTTTAAGCAATTTGTCCTGAATTGGCACTCTCAGTTGGGTCCCACCAAGGGCAGCACTGTTATAGATGGGAAGCTGGAGTTACCCCACAACTTGGGGCTAGCGGGGCGTAGCTAGTTCCTGCGTGCCCATGACCGGCACAGCCTGACCAAGACAGCAGTTCTTTGGGACTCACAGCGGGGGAGCAGTGAGGGGGCTGGCAGGTGTGTTTGCTGCAGGGGGGGACATCCCTAGGTTGTCTCAGTCCTGCAGGTACCTGGGGGAGGGGGCCAGCACAGGGACCCACTCTGTGGAGTCCAATTTCTTCAGCTGCTGGCAGTTCTTCCATAATGAGTCCAAATCAGCGCCACCTGGGGTCAGGGCCAGATTAACACAGGGACTTTAGGGGCTGCAGCCCAGGGCCTCGGCCTAAGGGGGACTCCGCAGGCCCATTGGCCGGATGTGGCCCGCTGCTTCTTTTCATCCAGCTGGACACCAGCCCCAGAGCCTCGGTACCACCCCCATGCTGCAGGGCTGGAATCGTGAGCGCCAGCTCGCCAGCGTGCCCCTAGGCAAGGGGCATTCAGGGAATCTCTGCACGCTGCCCCCACCCCCCGTGCCAGCTCCACAGCTCCCACTGGGTGGGAACCGCAGCCAATGGGAGCTGCTGGAGCAGCACCTGTGGACACGGGCAGCGTGCACCGCACAGACAGGCCTGCCTGGCCCTTCCGCCAAGGAGCTGGGCATGCCAGTCACCTCGGGGAGCAGAGCGGCGTGGAGCCAGGGATCCTGCCTTAGCCCTGCTGACCAGGAGCTGCCAGAGGTAGCCACCTCCAGGCCTGAGCCTGCACCCCCTACCCCATCCCAGAGCCTCCTCCTTCACCCAAACTCCCTCCCAGACCCCGCACCTCCACCTGCACCCAAACCCCTGACCCAGCCCTGAGCCCCCTCCTGCACCCAAACTCCCACCCAGAGCCTGCACCCCAACCTCCAAGCCCATCCCTGGCCCCTGCTGGGGCTCCACCCCAATCCCCGGCCCCAGCCCTGAGCCCACTCCCGCACTCCAAACCCCCAGGAGCCCCACAAAATTTAATTGCCCCAGACCCACAGGAGAATTAATTCAGCCCTCCCTGGGATGCTGGGGCAGGGCTTGGGGATGCACATTTCGATGTTAGCCGGCCCCCCAGATCTGTCCCACAAAGATCAGAGCACTTTCTTTGCTGCTGTCCCAGCTCTTCCCAGGCCGGACCCCCGGCCCACGCAGCCCCAGTCATGGGCATCTGCACTTGACTTCGCATCTCCCCAAGGGCTGCCACGTGAAACGCGCCCCAGGAGGGCCGCCCGTAGCGGAAGGGTTAACACAGCTCCGGCCGGCGCGCGGCGTCTGCGGGGACTTGTAGTCCGTGCCCCAGGCAGCGGTTGCCCCAGGCGCGGAGCATCATGGGCCTCGTAGTCCCGAGCGCCTGTCACAAAGCGCGAGGGCCGTGGCGACTCCACCCCTCGCGGACTGCGCCTCCCAGGGGGCAGCGCGGCGGTGGCGGCGGGCGGGGCCTGCCCTGCCCTGTCCTGTCCTGTCCTGCCCGCGAGTGAGGGAAGATGGTGGCGCCGGCGGCTGCCGCGTGGTTCCCCCCTCAGGCAGCGACCGGCCCCGGCCACCCCGAGCCCGCAGAGCGCGCCCGGCCCCGCACCGCCCCCTGAGAGCGCCCGGCCCGGCCCTGCCCGCCATGCCCCGCTCCCGCCGGGCGCACGCGACCCGGAGGGGCGGCCGCGGTGAGTCACCGTAGGGGTGGGGGGTGGCTGTGGGGTGGAGGTGGCAGGAGAGGGGGTGCCCGGGGGTGGAGCCGGCCGGCCGGGTTACCTTGTAGGGAGGGGCAGGCTGGGTGGGACGCGCTCAGGCTCTGCCAGCTCCTGCCTTAGGCCTTTCCAGGCAGGGCTGCGTGGCCTTCTGTACACTCCCCTCAAACAGATCTATAGGCTGCTGCCCTCCCCCTCCCATGACCCCACTCCCGGCCGTAGTTCTGGCCTGGGCTGCACGTGGTCTTACCGAACTCACTGCTCAGCCTGAGGGTGGGGTGACTGGGAATGGGGGAAGCACTTTGGGGCAGGGGCTGTCATTTCAGTCTGTGTTTGTGCAGCGCCTGTCACAGGGAGGGCTTGGTCTGTGCCTGGGACTTGTAGGTGCTTCCAGAATAAAATGCCGTTATCCTCAATGTACGGAGACTGTGGTCTGGTTTACACCTAAAACTGAGGTCGATGTAGTTATGGTGCACAGGGGTGTGAAAAATCCAGCTGTGCCAACCTAAACCCCCCAGTGTAGACACGGCTAGGTTAACAAAAGAATGCTTCCATCTCTCAGGGAGGTGGAGTTACTACAGCATAGGGGAAATCCACTTCTCTTCACTGCAACCTGCATTGACATTACTAGTTCCTGTAGCGGTGATATGGCTTAAATGACTGACATGGAATCTGTGGAGGAACAGCAACTTGAACCTAGGTCTCCCAAATCTCTCACTAGCACCCTGTTCGCTAGACCCTGTCCATCCTTCCTCTCATTGTGGTTGACTGAACTCTCCTTAGCTGAACAAATCTTGCCTTTCCTAGTCATTTAGGGACCTGTGAATTGAAACAGCAGGTGCAAATACACTTCATTCTGTGTGCAGTTCTGTTGCTGTTTTGTGCATTGACTGTCCCCTTGTGGTGATACTTGGTCAGGGCATCTGTTTAAAAATGTTTAATTGAATGATACATTTACAGGGTGCTCAAACTTTGACGAAGTACTAAAAATATAAATCCAACAGCAAAATAATGCTTTTGGACTTTTAAGATTAAATTTGGGGGCAGTGGTATGCCTGCGAAATCAGGGCAGCTCAGGATCATCTTCAATATTGCTTTTCAGTCTGTGAAGACTACAGATTCCAGCGTGCATGTTCCGCTGTAATCAAAGCACCTAGAAGTGTAGTTGGCAAACAGCACCTCCTATTAAAGATGGGGGCAGCTGGGATCTGCTTCCTTCTCCCAAATTAGGTACATACTTTCTGCCAAAATGGAGCCCTCAAATGTGTATTTAAAAAAAAAAAAAAAAAAGTTTGGGAACTGAATCTAGTTTTAAAGGTGAACAACAAGGGGGAAAATTGAAGTAAGTGGAGATATGTCCCATGTGCTCCCACTAACAAAGCTTAGAGGGGGGGAAGATTTCAGCACAGGAGGAAAAAAATTAGACTCCTACGGAAGTTCTGGATTCAGTAGAGAAGGCCCAGAATATATCCATGGTTGTGTGGGACTTAAAGTGGCTCTGGCTTCATGCGTCTTAAACTGGGAAGAACAGGAGGATGTTCCAGATTTAACATTTAAGATTTAAAACATTTAAAGGATTACCTTGAATTTTTGAAACTAACTTAAAATCCCAGTTTCTGATAGTCTTCTTTAGATAGTAATGCCTACGCTTTTGTCTAATTTCCTCTCTTTTAAAAAATGGAATGGTTAATTTGCTCAGCTTGCTGCTTCTGTTCAAGGCCTTTTCAGCAGGGGAGAAACTGATTATATATGGGAAACAGAAACTGACTAGTGCCGTCAAATGCGCAAAGTACACTGTGGTAAATAGAGAATTTATTCTTTCTCATTTCATTTTTAGTCATATTATTTGGGTTATGGTAGCGTCTTAGAGATCAGTCACGGACCAAGTCCCGTTGCGCTAGGCATTTTAGTAACACAAACAAAAAAGCCTTTCTCTGCATCTTTTGTGTTTGTAACTATATAATCGGTTAACAAAAAAGTTGACAGGAATGTGACTTTTTTTCAAGTTGACAGTGTCTTTTTAAATCTTATTTCTATGCTGAAATCCCTCTTTGAAAGGCACATTTCTGTTTTATCTATCTCCATTTTCACTTTCCAGTTCACTCTTAATCTTGTTCCTAAGCAGCATTCTTGCATGAAAGGATACTAAAAGTAGGGTACGTTCTGTCAGCCTATGTCTGAACTAAAAGGAAGCAATGTGTCTGTTACCTAGCTTATGCTTGCTAGCTACTGGAGTCTTCTGATACCTGGGTGCAAACAGGAAGAGCTTCCAGGTGGGAATTTGTCGCGGTTGTTATACAAAGCTGTAGCTCTTTTGCAACCCACACTTGTTCTGCTATTTCTGTGCGTGCATTTCCTCTGAAATCCTGTACTCCATCTCCTCTCCATTTCATGTTCTTTGCTGCTAGTGAACTGCCCACAATGAGATTTATGCTGTATGCCATGCGAAAGTAGCCTGTTTCTGCCTCAGGTAGCTAGCTTAGCATTGGGAAGGCACTGAAGACAGGACATGCTGTGAGGTCCAGAGGAGGGAGCAGACATACCTGGATGTATTTTTTCAATATCCGTAAAATGCAGTAGTAAAACTTCTCACTTAGAGACAAATGTTTGAGTGGACAAATCACGGAAGCTGTTACTGTCAGTCTGCAGTTCAGTGACTGCTGGGGAATGCATTGCTAGCCCTGTTTCTGTTCTTTGCGGACCACGTCATAGTTGGCGTTATGGGGGAATCTTCAGCAAGGTTATTGCAAAGGGAACAACTTCACTAAGTGGGATATATTTTACACTGCGGTGTCCCTGACCCAGCCTGGAACTTTCCATTCTTCACAGCTGTAAGAGAGGCATGCCGAGCATGTCTCTTCTGCAGGTGTGTTGGATGAGTGCACTTTCACGCATGCAGCTGTTTGCAGTACTCCAAATACACGCAGCTGCAATTGTGCCAGACTGCTGTTTGCTTACAGACTTGGAAGCCAGTGCTGTGCAAACACTTGTTTGGTGTCCTGGGCATTGTAGGATCACCTGGAAGGTCTGGCTGATGTGGATCTATCCCAAACCACGGAAAGCCCCTGCCTATGGTGCAGGTTATTCTTTAGGTTGCGGTAGCACCTGGATGTGCATGGCACTCTCCAAACAACCAGTTTAAGCAACTGTGCTCAACAGAGATGTGAGACACTCCCCTACCAAAGCTGGATTTGAACGTGGTATTCTCTAAGATGGATATAACATGGTTTTAAATGTTTGCAATGTGTAAACAAAGGCTATTAACCAGGGCTGGAGTAATTTTCTAGGCACTTATTAGCCAAAGGGTTAAATCTAATATCCAGAGAGCAATGCAAAAGATGAGGGTGCAGGATAAGATCTGGGGGCTGGTTTTGCTGAAATCCACAGCAGGGCGCCCTTTGCCTGTGCTGCTAGGAATGGGCTGTTTCTGGACTCTGCTCAGGCAGCCCCATCTTGGTGTGGCTGGTGGCCATTTGGCTAGAAGCCATTTTACAGAGACTTCCTTCTGAGGATCTCAGAATGCAAATCTGTTAATAGAAGGTGGGTCCATGCACGCCTGGCTGTGGTGAAAGAGGGGGGTTGCAAAGGGGGCTTCTCTCTTCCTCCCCTGCTTGGGAGGTGTGAGAGATAGATGCTGAGAAGTGGGGTGAGCCTTGCCATGTGTCAGGGTGTATCATTAGACAATACAGAGCTGTCTTTATTGCTCGCCTGACAGAGCTCCCTGTACTGCTACTTGGCATTGGCATGAGTGGCAAATTGCAGGCACTTAACCACAACAGCAACTAGCTGAGCATGTAAAAGTTCGCCAGTGTGCTCTGCAGAGCTCCATGTAGAAGGTTGCATGGGGTGGGCTGTTCTTGGGAGCGGATCTGAGCCCCATCCTGCTCCGCATGTCTCTCACCTGCCCAGGGGGCTCGGGACAGGTTTTGTATCTCCGTTAGGTTTGAAAGGCCCATAACCCCCACGTGCCCTGTTGTGAGGGACTTGCTGACTCGGCTTCCCAAAGATCCCAAACTGCTGCTTTTCCCCCTGGCCACTGCATTGTGCGGCACCCTGCTGGCAAGCTCCAGGGGGAGGGATCTCTGAGAGGGCAGGCTGTGTGCTCAGCATTACACTTTCATCTCTCTGCCAATCCGGCTCAGGCATTCAGTGCCACGCTGTTCTCACAGCAGGCATGGAGCCTGAAGAACATTAACCCTTCAGAAACATGTCCCTGGCGCTCTGCTTGCTGTGATGAATAGGATTCGATATACCAGCTGCCTTCTGGTCTTAATCCTTGTGCCTTAGCAAAGAGGCTAAAAATAAAACCCAAAGGTTTGTCCCAGTTCCCCTTCCCTAGCATCCTTCTGCCTCAGCCCTGTGCCCCAGTCCCTGTTCCCCTTCTCTCTCCTGCACCCCAATCCAGGCATCTCCCCCTCCCCCCCCCAACTCCAGCACCCCTCTGCTCTACCTCTGACCTCTTTTGGCAGTGCTTAGTTGGGTCGCTGTAACTTAATGTGGTGCTGTTTTGTTCTGGTTATAGCAGCAGAGCCCTTGGCTCTCTTCCCACAAAGCTTGTCCGCTTCTGTGTGGAGTTATGTAAGGTGAGCCTGACTCTGTTTACCACTCAGCTCAGCATTTTTGTGCTGCATCAGCACACAGTTTCCAGGGCCTGTGTGCCTCTGGCCTTGCTGGGAGGGTGCCACCCGATGCAGTCTGTGGATGTGCCACGCCCCCACTATGGGTGCCCGCTTGGGTTAAAGGCTCACTCCATGCAGTTCTCCAGAAGGGTTCCTCCAAACTACCCTTTAATATGTGTATAGTGCTGCTTCTCCCAGTGATCCCAAAGTGCAGTCACGGGTACCACCACTGACCTGCGTATGGGGGGAGGGGTGCAGGCAAACCCTTCACGCAGTGTTCTCTGCCTGGCCTCCTTCCAGCTTCTTCTGAAGTGCTGGGCTTTAAAGAGCAGGCAGCTGTGTGCTGAGCTGGCGCTGGCTGGTTTAACACTGAAAGTGGCATTAAGTTGTTTCTGTTTTGACAAAGTTCCCAGCTGTGAGCAATGTCCCCCCTCCCCCAAGCCAGGCCTCAAGTGGGGAGGGGCAATGGGGCAGTCTGAAGGGGGGTGGATCCAGATTGCCCTTGGGGGAATACTGAGGCTAGTTCAGTCTGCACTGGACTGGGCTTTCAGAGATCGCAGCTGTTTCAGGAAGAGATGCATTTGGAGGCTACCTGTGACGTCTCCAGCTGGTTTAGCCCCTGGAGCATCCTCGCTCTGATGTCCAGCTTTCTGTAGGGTCCGTGTCTTTGGCCAGTATGGCTTGCACTCTTCACCACTCCCTCCCGTGGGGTGTGAGGGAGGACAGTTGGCTCTGTGAGCTTACGTGATTAAGACACTTATCTCTCCACGGCAGCTGCTGGGTTCCTGTTGCTGCCCAGTGTGTCGCTGAGTTCCCCCATCGAAACTGCATGCACCCCTTCTCCAAAGCACCCGGTCTCTGGTGCTGTCATGCCCCAGGGCCGGCTGCAACCCAAGCTGCCCAGCCGACTCCTCCAGGACACAACCCTGCGTGGGGAGCACCGATTCAATGGCTGCATGCCGCCTCACAGGCAGAGAGGAAGGCCAGGTGTGGGCACTTAATCCTGGACTTCCCTGGCCTTCAGCACCCGGCTCCATCAACACTCCTGCTGCCTCTCGCACTGGCATCCCTCCCCCTCGTGCTCAGAGGCTGCTCTGGGTCAGCTCAGCCATTCGTGATCCTGCTGGCCTGTTGCTTGTGCTTGGCATGCAGAGTAACTGGTGCTGCTTGTTGTTCATGAGCTAACTTCAGCGTGTAGTCAGTGTGCTTGGTGCTCCACAAACCATGAATGGGCCCTGCCCCAAGGAACTTGCAATCAAAGCCAAAAAGGGGGAAGATGGATTGGACTGGGAAGATTGGGATGGACTGAACTCTTAATAGCCACATACCAAGGGAACTGATGGGCAGGATCCCCTGGGAGAATGACATGAGGGAGAAAGGAGTCCAGGGGAGCTGGCTGTATTTTAAAGAATCCTTATTGCGGTTACAGGAACAAACCATCCTGATGTATAGAAAGAATAGTAAATATGGCAGGCGACCAGCTTAGCTTATCAGTGAAATCTTTGCTGATCTTAAACACAAAAAAGCAGCTTACAAGAAATGGAAGATTGGACAAATGACCAGGGAGGAGTATAAAAATATTGCTCGGGCATGCAGGAGTGAAATCAGGAAGGCCAAATCACACTTGGAGTTGCAGCTAGCGAGAGATGTTAAGAGTAACAAGAAGGGTTTCTTCAGGTATGTTAGCAACAAGAAGAAAGTCAAGGGAAGTGTGGGCCCCTTACTGAATGAGGGAGGCAACCTAGTGACAGAGGATGTGGAAAAAGCTAATGTACTCAGTGCTGTTTTTGGCCTCTGTCTTCATGAACAAGGTCCGCTCCCAGACTACTGCACTGGGCAGCACAGTATGGGAAGGAGGTGACCATCCCTCTGTGGAGAAAGAAGTGGTTTGGGACTAATTAGAAAAGCTGGATGAGCACAAGTCCATGGGGCTGGACGTGCTGCATCTGAGAGTGCTAAAGGAGTTGGCGGATGTGATTGCAGAGCCATTGGCCATTATCTTTGAAAACTCATGGCGATCGGGGGAGGTCCCGGACAAATGGAGAAAGGCTAATGTAGTGCCCATCTTTAAAAAAGGGAGAGAGGAGGATCCAGGGAACTACAGGCCAGTCAGCCTCACCTCGGTCCCTGGAAAAATCATGGAGCAGGTCCTCAAGAAATCAATTTTGAAGCACTTAGAAGAGAGGAAAATGATCCGGAACAGTCAGCATGGATTCACCAACAGCAAGTCATGCCTGACTAATCTAATTGCCTTCTATGACGAGATAACTGGCTCTGTGGGTGAGGGGAAAGCAGTGGATGTGTTATTCCTTGACTTTAGCAAAGCTTTTGATACAGTTTCCCACAGTATTCTTGCCAGCAAGTTAAAGTAGTATGGGCTGGATGAATGGACAATAAGATGGATAGAAAACTGGCTAGATCGTCGGGCTCAACAGGTGGTGATCAATGGTTCCATGTCTAGTTGGCAGCCGGTATCAAGCAGAGTTCCCCAAGGGTCGGTCCTGGGGCTGGTTTTGTTCAATATCTTCATTAATGATCTGGAGGATGGCGTGGACTTGCACCCTCAGCAAGTTTGCAGATGACACTAAACTGACAGGAGTGGTAGATAAGCTGGAGGGTAGGGATCGGATACAGAAGGCCCTAGACAAATTAGAGGATTGGGCCAAAAAAAATCTGAGATTCAACAAGGACAGGTGCAGGGTCCTGCACTTAGGACGGAAGAATCCCATGCACCGCTACAGACTAGGGACCGAATGGCTAAGCAGCAGTTCTGCAGAAAAGGACCTAGGGGTTACAGTGGACGAGAAGCTGGATATGAGTCAACAGTGTGCCCTTGTTGCCAAGAAGGCTAACGACATTTCGGGCTGTATATGTAGGAGCATTGCTAGCAGATGGAGGGACGTGATTGTCGTTCTCTATTCGACACTGGTGAGGCCTCATCTGGAGTACTGTGTCCAGTTTTGGGCCTCACCCTACAAGAAGGATGTGGACAAATTGGAAAGTGTCCAGCGGAGGGCAACAAAAATGATTGGGGGACTGGAACACATGACTTATGAGGAGAGACTGAGGGAACTCGGATTATTTAGTCTGCAGAAGAGAAGAATGAGGGGGGATTTGATAGCCTTCAACTACCTGAAAGGGGGTTCCAGAGAGGATGGATCTAGACTGTTCTCAGTGGTAGCAGATGACAGAACAAGGAGTAATGGTCTCAAGTTGCAGTGGGAGAGGTTTAGGTTGGATATTAGGAAAAACTTTTTCACTAGGAGGGTGATGAAGCACTAGAGTGTGTTACCTAGGGAGGTGGTAGAATCTCATTCCTTTGAGGTTTTTAAGGTCAGGCTTGACAAAGCCCTGGCTGGGATGATTTAGTTGGGGATTGGTCCTTCTTTGAGCAGGGGGTTGGACTAGATGACCTCCTGAGGTCCCTTCGAACCCTGAAATTCTATGATTCTGTAAAGCTGTCTTGTGGCCAGTCTTGGCTCCTTTCTCTCTCATCTCCTGTGCCTTGTCTCCTTTCCATATGGTGCTGATTATCAGAGGCTCCAGGTCTCCCTTCTTTATCAGCAGGGCATGTCTAAACTGGGGTTGCTAATTTGCCAATATCCTCCCTTGCTATCTGCGTAGACACTTGCTGCTTCCTTATTTGCAGGCTACATATGGTGCAATCTGATATTCCTGTCCCCATCAGTGCTTGTGGCAATAGTAGCAAGGCGTGTGAGTCGCTGAACCCAGCCCTCGGGGCAGACTCGTCACCAGTGGGGATCTAGTTAGCACCCCGAGTCACAGTACAGCTGGCTACAGGCATGTGGCGCCCGCACAGCCTGTTGGGAGGCATGGTGGTTTGCAGGCATACAGCTAGGTCCCTGCCTGGCGGAGCTGGCAGCCTGAGTTGGATGACTCGTGAGTGAGGCTTAATGGGCAGAGGATGGGGAATATGGGAGATCCAGGGGAGTGGAGGGGGAATTGACTAGATCTCCCTTTTGCAAGCTTCCCTGGCATGTTATGTGGGCAAGTTCAGTCTGCCTTTGTACACCTTAAGCTACTGGCAGCTACAGGAAGCTGGGCCAGCTAGCTCAGTGATGGCAGACCCTGAAGGAGGAGGATTATATTTCTTACAGTTGCTGGGGCAGAGTAGGAAGGTGATTAAAGGGGCAAGCGAGGCTCTCCAGGAGTGGAGTGTGGGGCTTTGCTCTCTCTGGAGGCTGCCCCTGTCAACCTAACCCCAGCCCCCTCCCCTTCTGGTTCCCCAGGAGCTCGGAGCAGCGCCAAGGCAGAGTCCCAGGCCAGCGATGATGAGGCAGCCAGTGAAGTACTGAGTCACTACAGCAGCACCAGTGAGAGCACCAGCGTCGCTGAGGAGGGCACCGGTGAGTGAGAGGCAGGGGGCGTGACAGGTGGAGAAGGGCTGGCTAGAACCTGCAGCCAGGCAGGAGCAAACCAAGCACATAGCAACAGAGCGCTCTGTGTCTCACCAGAACCTCCCTTCTCCCCAGCATTTTTTTTTTCCCCTCCCTCCCTCTGGGCCCATAAAAATCAGGGGCAGGCTAAGAAATTCCAGGCCTCGGTTTTGTAAAGGACTTTAACTGATGGCGTGCGAGGGCTTGTCCCAGGCCCAGTCACTCTAGCTGACCATGGAGCTGCCTCCAGGTCGGCCCTGCAGGGTCAGTGGTTCTGATCAGGTGTACGAAGCACAGGGCCAGGTGGCACAGCTGCTACTCTCCTTCCTGGGACCGGATGTGGGGGTTGGCACTGGGGCCTGAGGTGGGAAGAATGGGTCCATCTGGCTGCTCGGCATTTGACTCTGGCTGTTGCTTGCAGGGAGCGATGCTGTGGACGAGCAGGCCCAGCAGGAGGAGGTGGAAGACAGACTGAAGGAGTGCATTGACAACGTGACAGACAAGAGGTGAGATGGGGATGGGGATGGCCCATGCCAAGGCTTCCTCCCACTTCTCAGCACTGGCCCTTCCTCGGGGAAAGCACAGGCGTTCAGTGTGCTGCAGCTGTCCTGGGAGCTCTCGCCTCCTCTCTCCCTGCTATGGGTGTCCGTAGGTGCCAGGAGCCCTTTGCTCCTAGTAAGTGCAGCACATGCCAGTGGGCTCAGCCAGACAGGGAAGAGCTTTAAGAGCGTGTCTGGATTTCATCCCCAGCTTTGCTCTGTCCAGCTGGGAGAGGGAAAACTAGTCTGGGAGGCATCTGCAACTTGATGGGAGCCATGGCAGATAGGGTACAAAGGCAGCTCCCCTGGGATCTCATCCTGCACAGCTCCAGGGAAAGTACTTCTGTTCCTGCTCCAGCTGCAGCGAGGCCAGACTGGACAGGACTCCCCTGTGGAGCAACCCTTAGAAGCATGTCGTCATAGCTAGCACCCCCTTTGCTCCGCAGCCCTGCTGGGCTGGGCACCTCCCTCAAGAAGGGTAAGCTGGCCTTGGAAGGGGTGTGCTCTGCACCCCCTGTTGAGAAGAACCCATTGGGATGGTGACTCACCCTTTTCTCAGGGCTTCCCTGGCTTGGGAGCTTTGTAAGCCCTTTGGGACTGGCCCCAGAATGTCTTCCCTCTCTTTCCTCCCCTCCCCCTGCTGAGCCTGCCTGCCTACAAGGAAGCTGATCTAGATGATGAGTGGCTGGGGTGGCCCTTGCCAGCTTTTTCAGGTCCCCACCTCCCTCTCAATGTCTAGCTCAGGGTATCTTTTCCAGCACCAGGACCCGACAGGTAGCCCTGGAGAGCTTGCGGCTGGCTTTCTCCTCCAAGACACTCTTTGACTTCTTGCTGGAACGCAGGCTCACGCTCACAGACTCCTTGGAGAAGTGCCTGAAGAAAGGTAAGGCTACCCCTGCCCTTCCAGCCCTGGGAAGGCCCTCCGTAGCGGGGCAAGGGGCTACCATCTTCCCTGCAGATCCGGCCCCTTGGCGTGAAACCAGTCTTTATCTGCAGCCTAGATCTTCTCCTGACCTCAGCAGATCATAGCAGGAACGCCCGCAGACCATCAGCTGCAGGGGGGCGGGGTAAGTAGCAGGAGCAGAGACACCCAAGGGGGACGACCAACAGAACATGCAGTGTCTTGAAACTAAACCTTTGCAAACCCCTTTTGCAAATCTTTTTTTTCTTGCCTGCCAGGGCTCTGTCCTGGCAGGGCTAGCCCCTAATGCAGTATAGTGAATGCAGGAACTAACTCTGCCTTCAGCTTCTACAGTGGGAGCGCCAGTTTCTTCACTCTTCTCTGGGCAGGTTGAAAACCTCAACTCTACCAAATAAATCAGCTTGGCTGAGAGCCCCCCTCCAGTCTCAGGACACCAGCCCGAAGTGCTGAGCAAAGTTCTGCTCTGCCTGCATTGGACATTTGCCTCCATCCAGCAGCTGAGGGGTGTCGATGCACCTCGCTGCGTGTTCCTTGGTTGCATGCACGTGCCCTGTTCTGCTCTGGCGCTTGAGGCAGCCTCCCAAGTAGAGGAAGGGAGAAGATCTTGAGGCTGATGGAAGTTCTCTTCTCCTGCCATGCAGGTAAAGGGGAGGAGCAGTCTCTAGCTGCTAGCGTTCTCACACTACTGTGCCTTCAGATGGGCTCGGGCCCCGAGGGGGAGGAGGTTTTCCGCAGCCTGAAGCCCCTCCTCATCAGCATCCTGACTGACTCCTCGGCCAGCCCCATCGCTCGCCAGAGCGTAAGTAGCAAGTCTCCAGGACACAGGAGCCCAGCTGGGTTCCAGGGGCGCAGAGCAGAGAGTAGCGCTAATGTGCTTTAAAGAGAGCTGTGTGGAGCTGGGTCTCCCTTGCACCTGGGTCTGTCTCGGGTTAGCTCTAGGCTTGTAGCAGGACTGTGGCTGGGTTATCATCACAGAATGTGTGAAACTGACCAGTGGCTGTGGAACTCAGCATTCACTTTCCACCAGTTCCAGCTTCTACAGGGAGGAATTCAGCTGTGGGTGTGATGGGGAGATGTGGCTCTGAGAAAGGTTGAGTGCCAGTCCTGGCTGGGCCAACCTGCTTTTGGACTTGCTCATGCTGAGCCTGCAGACCTGGCCCCTTGGAGAATGGACCAGACTCAATACTATGTCAGGGGACAGGCTGGGACAGGGTCCTCTCTCCCCTGAATCCTCGTTCTCTTCCCATCTCTGCTCTGTCGGTGGTCTCATCTGCAAGGCTGGCTCCGTGATCCAGGGCGTGGGAGGGTACTCTCCAGAACTGAGAAGTGGAGGCCTGACCTTCCCCTCTGTCCAACCCGCCTGGATCCATGGACAGGGGCTAGAGGAATCCAAGCAGGCGGACCAGCCCCAGGGATGCAGAGACAGGAGGCCTCCCTCCTGAGCCCCCGTGTGCACAGTCCCTCAGGCCAGCAGGGCAGCACCCCAACCCCTGCTCTGCTAGGAATCAGACTGCAGCTTGCCCCGGTCACGGGGTGCCAAGGCTCCTGACCACATTGGCAGCGCTGAATCCTTAGCGTCATGTGCCATGGGGTGCGGCTTTGGAACGTACTGGTGTAACAGCCACCCTCTTAGCCAGCACCAGGGAATGAACCGGGAGCTGCCACTGCTAAACAAAGTCTCTCCAGCTTGGACTGAAGATCCAGGGCTCCCTAGCTGGGCTGTAATACTCATAGCTTCTCCCCGACCCTTCGAGGTGGCACCCCCCACTTTGAGCAGTGCTGCTTGTGTGCTCCCACAAGGAGAACAGCCTCGACCTTACTGACTTAGAGCAGTTCAGTGTGAGCCCAGTTTCCCGGGCCCTATGGGATCACGCAACCCGACTGCCCCACTCGGCCTACTCCCTGCCATGCTCAGAGGCCAGGGATTGACTGGGCCTGGGAGACTGTACCACTGTCTTGCCCATAGACAGGTCCCTGCAGGGCACAGGTGGCGTAACACTGGCAGGCAGCATGAGGGCAGCTTGCCCTGCCTTGTGCCTGCATTGTGCAGAGAGAGCTCCTAGGCTGGCCACCAGCAGGAAATCACCCCAACACAGTCTGCTTCTGCTCTGTGCCCCCTGCTTCCTGCCAGTGTGGGGCACACAAAGAGCCATGGAGGCCAGGAGCAGGCCAGATCAGCCAGCACAATCCCCAGTATGAACAGAGGGCTTCCTGGCCATTTCCCACAGGAGGGGAGGCGCCCAAGCATAGTCTTAGAGCAAAGGCACCTGTGTTAGCTCGTGGCGCTGGAGGATTTTTCCAGAGGAGTGGCTTGGAAGGAATTAGGCACTGGGATCTAGGGGTAGGGATTGGCCCTGCATTACTTCCATAACCCGTTCCTCTTCCTGTCTAGTGTGCCACGGCCCTGGGCATGTGCTGCTACATTGCTGCTGCGGATGTGGAGGTAACTATGCCGCGGGCTAGCACCCAACGGGTGCTTTAAATGGAAAAGCTAGGGAAGGCTGCTCAGCCCCAGTAGGGTCTGGTGTCCCCTTCCTTTCCCACCCCAGAGCCAGATGCACCGAACCACCACTGCCACCATCTCGCGGGGTGCAGCAGTTGCTACTGCTCATCACATGGCTGCTTCAGAGAAGGTGGTCTTAACCCTCCTCGTCTGCAGTGCTATCGTACCAGCCTGGGGGTCCTGCCTGGCTGCTGTCCCTGCCCTGGAACTGTCCAGTTCACTAGTCACTAGCTGTGCCCTTGGCTTGTTTGGTCCCACCTGGCTCTGCCTAGTTGGATGATGGGATGTTCCCCTCCAGTGTGGGAGGGGCTGTGATCCTCATGCTGTTACCAGAGCAGCTGTTCAGAGGAGAGCAGAGTCCTGCCCCTCATGATCAGACCCACCCGTGGGAGGGACCCAGGGAACTGGCTGCCATGTCGCATAGGATCCGGGAGTCTTCAGCCCTCTTCTACACGTCCTTGCACCTCCAGCTACTGCCAGTATCCCCAGGCAGCCAGTCTCTGCGGCTGGTTCTTCATCCATGACCAGGGCAATGTGGAAGCACCAAGAGACACCCCCACCCCCAGCAGCTCATGACAGGGAGTTCCTCTGGCACAGAACCTGGAGCTTCTCTGGATAACAGGCTGCTTCTGGGTTGGGCAGTCAACACACAGTCAACCTGTGGAACTCCTTGCCAGAGGATGTTGCGAAGGCCAAGACCATAACCGGGTTCAAAAGAGAACTAGATAAAATCATGGAGGATAGGTTCTGCTATTAGCCAGGATGGGCAGAAATGGTGTCCCTAGCCTCTGTTTGCCAGAAGCTGGGAATGGGCAACAGGAGATGGATCACTTGATGATTACCTGTTCTGTTCATTCCCTCTGGGGCACCTGGCAACTGACCACTATCGGAAGACAGGATACTGGGCTAGATGGACCTTTGGTCTGACCCAGTAGGACCATTCTTATGGGGAGACCCCGAATGTGTTGACCTGGTTGAGGTGCTCTCATCAGAGGCTGCTGGGGCTCATTCCTGCCCTCCGATTCCCCTGGCTGTGTAACTCCCTGGTGCGCTCACACTCTCTCCTGCCCTAGGATCTGGTTTCCTGTCTCACGTGCCTGGAGGGCATCTTTGGCACTTCCTGCCTGGAGGAGGGCAGCTCTGTCCCCACCCACCACAGCCCCCTGCTTCAAACTTTGCACTGCAACTCCCTCCAGTCCTGGTCCCTGCTCCTTACCATCTGCCCCAGCTCCCAGATCAAGAAGATCCTGGACAAGTGAGTGACTTGACAGTGCTAAGGAGCTAGATGTGAGCAGGGAGTGAGCTGCCATTTGACCCTTTCATGACAAGGGTTCAGAGGGCAATGCATGTCCTGTTGCACCAGCTGGGTGGCAGGGGGTTGGACTCTGGGGCTGACTGATCGGAGAAGTATCCCATCCATTGTATGGGGTGGGAGCTAGCCCAGACTCCAGCACTGGCCAGGTCAGTCCCCATTGTGGCTGGCAAGTAGCACAGGAGTGTGCTAGCTGCTCTCCATAGGAAGTGTGGCAGGCCGGCTCCCCTGCTCTGTCTCCACGCCCTCCTGCCTGAGCAAGGCCCAGGAGGGTCTCCCCTGGCTGCCCATTGCCCTCTGAGATGCCCAGGCGAGCGCAGCGTATCTGGTGCTGGCTCAGCCTTGATTCCCTGGCTCTCCTCCTGCAGTCACCTGCTCAAGCTGCCGCTGCTGCTGTCCAGCGACAACGTCCACCTGCGGATTGTGGCGGGCGAGACCATCGCGCTGCTCTTCGAGCTGGCCCATGAGCTGGAGGTACGTCTCAGGGTGCTGCTGGGGCTCAGACAGGCTCAGTGCTACGTGGGGCGCGAACCCTCAGCTGTGGTGTGTCTGCCTCGAGTTGGTGGCCAGCTCCGTGCTGCAGTAGCGAGGAGCAGAGGAGGCTGGCTGTCTCGAAGCCTGCCCAGGGCCCCTGCTGTAAAGGGGCTGGCTTGCTCTCACCTCTTGCTGTTTCCTTTCCCTATGCTCCTGGCAGGGTCCCTGTTCTGTCCCCTGCTGCCATGATCCACATCACTGGCAAGGGATGCCCAGGGGCACGGGCTGGTTATGTGTTCAGTTGGTGGTGTCCATTGGGAAGACTGGCAGTAGGACCTGCTCCCCCACTAGAGAGCCCTCCCAGCCCAGCTGCCCCTATCCAGAGAAACCCTAGCTAGGCTCCAGGTTAACCCCCGCCTAGCACTCCAGCCATGGCTAATCCCTGTTCTCTGCCAGGCTTCCAGCTGTGGGGTGAATTCCAAGCAGGCTGCTCATCACCTCCCCAACCTCGTTCCCTCCCACACAGGAGGAGTTCTTCTATGAGGACATGGACCTGCTGTGCACCAATCTCAAAGCCCTGGCCACCGACAGCAACAAGTACCGGGCCAAGACGGACAGACGCAAGCAGCGCTCTATCTTCCGCGATGTGCTGCACTTCATCGAGGTGCTCGCTAATCCCTGCCAGCCCTAGAGAAGCCTCACTGACGGGGAGGGGAGTGTGGGCGCTAGAACCGGGCATGCCCATGGCAGAGGCCAGCCTGGGTCCTGCTAACAGGCTGCTTGGCAGGGTTCTCTGTTGGGATACAAAGCTCTAGGCCCCTTCAGCCTGTTACTGCCCCAGCCCTGACTGCATGTCCCAGCTGGCACCTCGCTGGGATCTCTCTGGGGGTGGAATCATGCCATCTTGAGGTGACTCCAGACCAGTTACCCTGCCCCAGTGGGGCAGGAGGTGTAGCCTGCAAAGGGCTCAGTCACTAAGGACTTCGAGTGTCTCAGTCCAGCAGTGCCCAGTGTGTGACCCACTCAGGTTGCAGGGCTGAGCGTGTATTAGAATGCCAAGGGGTTGGGATGGCCGCCACCAGCCAGTCTCCAGGAATTATGAAATAGTAAGTGGCTGGCAGCTATGTTGGCATCACAGTTGGCCCAAGGCGAGTGTCTTCCGCAGGGCACAGGGGCCTGTGCGTCTGAGGAGAACTGCCAGCTGGCTTATGCCAGCGCACTGTGGGTGAGTCATTAAGCTGGGAGCTGCTGGGCTCATGGGCCCTGCTTTGTCCAGTGGCATTCCCTGGTAGGGGCGGCTCTTTCCCCATGCTCCGTGGATGCATGTCGGATGGGGCGGGGCTCGTGCTCTCCTGGGCTGCCTGGCGAGTCACTAATGCCACCTCCCTGCCCCCAGAACGGCGAGTGCCATGAGGAGACCATCAAGTTTGGCCTGGAGTGCATGTACGTGGACAGCTGGGTCAGGAGGAGAACATACAACGCCTTCAAGGAGGTGCTGGGCTCCGGGGTCAGGCATCACCTACAGGTACTGAACTGGGGGCAGGATGCTGAGAAGGTCTGGCTGGGGGGAGGTGGGATCAGAGACCCTCCCAGGTAAGGGGGAGCGTCTCCTGAACAGGTGCTTGGCTTGCCCCAGGTGGCCGTGTGTAGCGGGAAGCTCGTTGCTGGTGCTGGGTGTGTGGGGAAGCAGCTGCCCCCTCCCTATGAAGGCTGGGGGGCACACCAACAGGTCTCATCTCATGTTGCCCTTAGAACAATGAGCTGCTGCGCGAGATCTTTGACCTGGGGCCTCCACTGGTGCTGGATGCTGCAGCTATCAAAGCCAGTAAGATCTCCCGCTTCGAGAAGGTAAGTCGCTCGGCAACTCGAGCCAGGCCTGTGGTCCCTTTCTGCCTGGCCCCAGCGCCCCCTGCGGTGCTGCCTGTGTCCCAGGAGGTGCTGGGCAGAGCCCTGGTTTGCTTCCCTTCCACCTCACCCGCAGCCCTCCTTGAGGGGGTCACTGAGCCTAGTGGGGAGGCACCAGGGAAGGGCTGGAGAAGGCTGCAGGTAGCTGTGATGGCTGGGGAGGACTCTTCCGGCCCTGCTAAAGCCCATCACTGGCTCCTGCGGCCAGGCTGGGGAGAGCAGAGGGGACAGCTCCCCATTCCAGGCAGAGCTCTCCCCACAAGCCTTTGGGGTCCAGAACCAGGAGTTCCCTTACCACCTGGGGCCAGGATCCCAGGGCTTGTTGGGATTGTGGGTCCAGTCCCAGGAGCTCGGTTAACACGGAACTAGGCCCGCACACCTCCAGGCTGGTGGCCAAAGCACTGGGCTCCCCCAGCCAGTGAGACAGAACCCCACTTGGCTCAAGCAGCTGCTTTCTTCTCTGGTGAGGGGCTGGCCCCCCTCTGATTTCACCGGCTGGAGGGGGGAGGATCTGGTGGAGTGCCCCGTGCAGGGATGTAGAGGGATAATAGGTGGAATACCAGGAAGAAGCCCCCAGCGTTGGCTGAGTAATCTCCCCAGGGAAGGTCTGGGAGCCCCATGGCTGGGGATGTGGAGGGTACCAGCAGAGCTGCCCGTGAGCAACCCTGCTTTGTGCTCTGGGGCCAGCCAGGGTGGGTAGATGGGCCCTAATGGCACAACCTGGTAGTCCTGTCCCTCCCCCTCCAGCTGACTGTTCCCTCTCCTCTCACCCCCAGCACCTGTATAACTCGGCCGCCTTCAAAGCCCGGACGAAAGCCAGGAGCCGCGTGCGCGATAAGCGAGCCGATGTCCTATGACAGAGGCCGCTCTCTCCGCCGCCTCCTGTACAACCCACGGACTGCAGACCCTGACCACTGTGACACAGGGGAGGAGCTGCGGGGTGGGGCGGCCCTCCCAGTTCATCAGCTCCTGCCATGCCCCTCACCCCTAGCCGCGGGGGCTTTTAGATATGTACAGACTTGTATTTAAATGGCGTGGCTGGTGGATCCCAGCGAGACGGCCATGGGCCAGTTTTATTTTTTTAACCAAAAAAATGTAAGTGAGGTTTGGGTGGGGGGGAAGCCCCCCACTTTTAGCTGGTGATTTTAGCCTCCTCTGGCCACCCCCCGCTCCTGCGAGCGCGTTGGGCCATCCAGGTGCTGTCCCATGGAAATGCTGTGAATCAGTGCGCAGGCTGGAGGCACCAGGGAAGGGGGGAGGTGGATTTTCAGGTGAGTGTCTTGTTCTCTCCCCTGCTGTGGGAGCTGTTTGCCTTGGCTGGGTGAAGTGGGAATTGGCAATTGAAGTGGCTTTTGAAATGCTGAGGGTGTGGCATTACTGCAGGGGCTGTTCGCCCTGCCCTCCCCAATACATACATGCTTGCATTGGGCCCCTCCCATGTGCACAGGCCAACCAGCTCTTCCCCCGCCCTTCCAGGAGTCCTGAGCATGGCTCAGGATGTGCCCAAGGGGCCGTGGGCCATCAGCAGCCACTGGTTTGAGAGAAATCCCCAACCAGTGTCAGGATGGAACTAACAGGGCCCCATGGGGGTAGGGTCACTGCTGAGGAGCTGCTGCTCCCCTCAGATGCTCGTTTTTTGTGGGGTGGGGTCTTGGGGTTCATCTCCCATAGCAGGGTGCAGGGAAGGTCAGAGTGTGAAGTGGGGATCGATGGCTTGCCAAGAGGGGTTGATGCAGTCCCTAGTGTGACCAGTGAGGGGGAGATGAGATTCCCCCACCCCCTCCAGGAAGAAGCTGGAGATCTTGGAGCGAGCAGCAGCCTGCTCAGGGCCCTGGGCCCCTGGCTGCTAGAGACGAGGGTGGGATTGTGGGTGATGAAGGCAGAGCCTAGAACTGAGCACTGGAGCGGGCTACCAGCACAGCCGCCCCCTACCCCCCCCACCCCCAGCTCTGTCCCCCTCACACAGATCTCACCCCGAGTAAGCCAGGTCTGACGCAGTCTAATAGTAACTAATGGAGTGTAGTGCCTGGACTAGCCCCAGACCTGTCTGCCCCCCACCCCAAAGCTGAGAGAAACTGAGCTGGTGGGAAAGGTGAAACGCACCATGCTGAGGGAGCAAAGGGCTGCAGTGGGGGCGGGGCAAGCCTTGTAAAGGCTCAATGAGGCACTGCAGGGCTGGGAACTGTGCTCGCTTTAACTGGGCATTGTCTCTTTAAAAATCCCCTTTGGAAGTGATTCTTCCTCTCCCCCTCACTCCGACCCCTCCCCCCCCCCAAAGAAAACACAGGCAGGCTTAGCGTGACCCTACAGCGTGTGCTGGGAGGGGAGGGCCCCCTGTTTCTGTAGTGCCCCCTCTTGCCTTGCTTGGCAGGTGCTTGCAGGAGGGGGGTAAAAGGCTAGGAACCACACTCCCTCTGCCCTCCCGGATGAAAAATTGCCCCTCTGAAGGCTGCAATTTCACTTTCTTCTGAGCCTTGTTACCTGCCTGTTGGGGTTGGGTCCCTTCCCGCTCCCACTAGCCTCTGCCCAGAGCTGTGGGAATGGGGCCAGCCACCCCTTGCTAGGAAGCATCTCCCCTGGAGTTCTTTGAAGGTGGCTCCCTGCCTGGGGTTGAGGCCTTCCTTATGGTCTCCCTCTGACAGCACAAAGCTGGTCCAGGTGCTCTCTGGCTATGAAGATCACATCAACTTCTCGCCGCTGCTCTGCGGGGCTGGGCTCTGCCATAGTTTGGGGGGGACGCACAAAGAAACCATGCCAGAGGGGGAGGAGAAAGGCAGCAGGGGCAGAGCGAGGTGGGACAGGGCAGTAGCATGGCCCAGCTTGTGCTCTGTATCATGGAGGGATGGGGACTTTGCTATGGGGTGCTCACCTGGGCCACTGGGGTGTTCACCCTATCCTACAGGGCTTCCCTCGAATGGATTGCTGGAGTGGTTTTATAACAGGGTGATTAGCGGAGATCATTAAAAGGCAAATGTCTTGGCTGCCTAGTCTGATTTCAAAAGCGGTAAGTGCAGGGCAGCACCCGCTGCTGGGGAGGGCAGGGAGAGGCGATCAGGGCTTTGGATGTGGGTGGGCCTGCTGGGTTGGGATGGGCTGTTCAGGGCAGGGGTGTGCCCTAGGGCCATCTCTGCAGCTCCTGAGGACATGCTCTGCCTGCAGCAGGGCTGCCTCCCCCATGCAGGAGCCAGGCATTCCCTCCTCCTGTCTGCGTCTGGCAGTGCAGGATGGGACCCTTGTACTTTCCCAGCCCCCTGCCATGCATGCTGGGCCGGTGTCCCCATGGCAGGCTGGGCCGGTGTCCCCATGGCAGCCTCGGCCACAGAACCATCCTCCCTTGCAAAGGGAGCAAGAGGCAGCATTCCAGCTTCCCTGCCTCTTGCACCTGTGCTGTGGCAGCTGCCCCTTGCCACTGGGGGAAGCCAGCGAGGAGCTCTCTACTGCTTTGTCTCCTGGGTTCCATCCAGTCCGACCGTTTGTGAAACACAGGCCTGAGCCCTGCCCCTCTAATCCCCAGAGCAGAGCTGCTAGGAAAACACCCTGGCTTGATCTGAACATTGCAAGGGATGGAGAATCAACCAAGGCCATTATTAAATACTTCCAGGGGTTGAGGCAGTGGTTCTCAACATGGGCTGCATGTGGCCTGTGTGGCAGGGTCCCAGCTGCCCAGCCTGAGGGGGTCAGTTTGGGGTCCCAGCTGCCTGCCTGGCTTGCACAGCAGGGTCCAGGTTGTGTTGGGTTGCGGCTGCCCTACTGCCCGGCAGGATTGGGGCTGCTGCCTGGCCTGGCACTGCAGGGCCCTGGGCCCCTGCCACCTAACCCTGCACCCGGGGCTCTGCTCCTGGCCCCACTCTGTGGAGGGGGTGCTGGGCAAAGAGGTTTGGGGGGTGGGCACTGTGGTTCTCAACCTGCGGCCCAGGTAACATCATGTGGGCTGCATATGCTGCCCACAATGATAAATAGGTTGCAAACCATGAGTTAAGGGTAAGGAGGGGAAGAGATTTGGGGCTGATTCTCTATAGAAAAGTTCTGAAGGCCTAAACAAGCCCTCAGGGGCTCTTGCTTTCTGCAGCTGCGGAAGGTCAGGCTCCAGCGTCTGCCTTTCCTGGTCTAACTGCCTCCCCCAGCTGGGCTGGTGCCCCTCAAGCCTGAGCCGTAGGCTCCCCCCGGCCACCACTGGGCTGGGACCCCTCTAGCATGCCTCCTGTTTCAGCTCACAGGCCCTTTGTGCCCTCCCCAGCAAAGGTAGAGTAGCTTCAGGGTGTGCCCAGGTGGGGATCGTGCCCTGAACTCCAGCCCCAGCAGTTCGAGCAGGCCATGGAGCTAGCTGGTAGCTGGGTCCCATGGGGCTGCTGGAGGGTGGGGGGCGTATGCTAGTACAGCTTTATTGTCATATACAAAATTTATATTTAGAAAGGACAAATAGTGCTGGGGGGAAGGAGAAGCTGGGGTTAGAGGGGGAGGGGTTATAAATAAGGCGTGACTGTAGAGCAGATAATAAATAGGCTGCTGGGGGGGGGGGGGGTGATGATGGAGATTCTCCTCATTATCCACCCTTAGTCCTTTGCAGGCTGCCTGCCCCTGAACAGGCTCCCAGTACTCCAGCAATGACCCCCTGAGACCAGGAGTGCTTGGCCTGGCCTCTGGTCAGTCCATGTTCCCTGCAGAGAGGGGGCGCTTGCCCCGGGGTGCGGGACGCAGTGCTGGACTTATGCCCTCCCCCATCAGAAGGAGCAGCAGGCCCGGGGTGGTCGGCTCACATCTGGTCTGCAGCCTCGCTGACGTTCAACCGCTTCCACAGCTGCAGGCTGGTGGCCCTCATCTGCCGCACGGACTCCTCCTGGGCCTCCAGCCACTGGGACAGGACCCGCAGCGACTCGCTCTGCAGGACTGCAGGGGAGAGAGGAAACCCTGTAGGTGGCGCTCCTGGCTCCCCAAGCCCCTTCTTGCCTATGGCCTCGGTCACCAGGGGCTTAGAACTCATAACCTGCAGTCGAGGGACCGTCTCTAGCCAAACCATGCCACTAGGGGCAGACCCACTGCTGCTTCAACCCTGAGCTCCCACTGAGGCCGAGAGCCCTGTCCCTCACGCTACAGCGTCCCCTTGGGGGCAGCCTGGGAGCTCAGCTAGAGAACAGGGTGATGCTCAGGGAGTCTGCCATTGAACCCAGGAGGATCCCACCCACGAGAGCATGCCCGCTGCTGCCACCAGGCTGGCCCCCTCGGCCCATCTCTGTTAGCAGCGACCCATGTGGGTTGTCCTGCTCTTCGCCCCCTGCAGCTGCCGGCAGCAAGCTCTCCCTGAGCCAGTGCCCGGCGAGGGCTGAGAGTGGGAATGGAGCCTGTCTCTGCCACAGGGAGGGGGCGCCACTGGCAGGGCTCAAACCCAGCTGCCTCGCCATACCCACCCATGCTGCTGTGCCAGCATGGCCGCAGGCTGGGACCCTTTCCACAGTGCTCTCCCTGGCTCAGGGTGGTGGAAGGGGCAGCAGGAGGATGGGAGGTGCAGAGAGTGGGATGGGGCAGAGGCTCAGCTCCTGCTCCCACTGGGGATGGGACGTGGGGGCCCCAACAATGCCTCAGCCTGGCCTGGGAACTCTGCCCCTGTTAGTCTGCTACTAAAGTGGCTCCTGGCACGGCTCCCACATGGCACCTTGCTACTCGCGCTGCCTCCTTCACCCCAGGGCCAGCAAGTGCTCTGATTCTACATGGGCCACCCCTGCCACTCCCTGCCCAGGTCCCATTTGCACAGCAGGTGCCCCCAGCCCAGTAGGGCAGGGCCAGCATGGCAAGCGCTGAAGGAGATGGTCCCACGTACCACTCAGGTACACGGCCAGTGTGGCGAGGGCGAGGCTGGCCAGCACCAGGGCCCCGAGCAGGGCGAAGAGGGCTGTGCGGCAGCAGGCAGGGTGGAAGCAGGGGCAGATGGGGGTGCTGCGGACGGTTCGCAGTGTCGGCAGGAGGGCTGGCCTAGCCCCACAGCGCTTGGTGGAGTGGGCCTGAGGGGTCTGTGGGGTGGTGGACTGAGACAGGCCGTTCCCTGGGGAGAGAGGTTAGAAAAGAGTGAGATGCCAGCCGCTAACGCTCACTGCCCCGGTGCCCCCTTAGTGCCCAGCAGTCCCACTGAGAAGCATCTGCATGAGGGCAGGTGGTGAGCTTCCCTGCTGCAGTGCCAGGACCATGCCATGCAATGGACCCATTGCAGGGCCATGCCAGTGCAGGCTGTCCCAGTGCCCCTCCTGTGCCAGTCAAGGCATAGCACGGCCCGACCCCTGGCTGAGCAATCCCAGGCTGGCAACAGAATCGGTCGGGGGGCAGGTGTACTGAGGGAGGAACCAGCCTGATCTGAGCAGACCCCCCCTCACCCTGTGACTGCTCCTTTCCTCCGCCACCTCAGGGCTATCCCATACTTGCCCTATCTCTGGGGGGGATTTGGCATTAATTACCCAGGCTGACACCCCCTCTGCCCCCAACAGCCACTGGATCCCCAGAGCTGATCTGTCCCCTGACCCCCAGTACTGAGAGCCTCTTTGTTTCAGCCCCAGACTCTCCCCCCACCTCAGCCATCACCATGCTCCTAAAGCAACCAGGATGCTTTGGTCTGTGTAATGCCCTGCTGCTGCCCTCTAGTGGTGGCTGATGAGCCTGCTATGGCCCTGGCTAGCTGAGCTGGACCCTTTAGCTCAGGCCAGAGAGATCCAGACATCAGAGGTTCAATCCCCACTGCCCCAGCCCAGCTGGCCTGCAGCATTGCACAGGCAGCAAGGAGATTAGGGATCACCCTTGGCCTGTCTGGTGCTACAGTCAGAGTTCCCCCCCAGTGAAGGACACAACCACCAGCCCCTGCGGGGAATGATCCTCACCCTCTGCGGCCTTGTGGCCCCCAGACACCCAGTACAGGTCACTGATGGACTCCACCGAGTGCAGGTTGATCTCTGCCAGGTCGTTGCCATTGAGGTCGATGGGCTCCCTGGGTGGGGAGGTGTCTGCCTTCACCTCCATTTCTGCCAGAGAAGGAGGAGGAGCTTTGAGGCCTGCTGCCTTGGCCTCTAGCCCTCAGCCTGGTCAGTTTCACTCTGACTCTGGTTAGTTTCAGTGGAACATAGCTAGTGATGGAGGTGCCCAAGGCAGGCTTTTTCCCCACACTCTATTCCCCTTCGTGTGTTGTGTCCAGGTTAAATGGCCAAGTTCTGGGGCTCTCACCACCTTTCCCCAGAACCCATGGGGGTACCTGTTAGCCTGGCCCCCACAGCGCTTTCCCTCCTGTTCCAGTCCTGCCAGGTCTCATCTGGCAGCTTCTGGCCATGCAAAACCCCTTCTTGTGTACAGTCTCCAGGGGAGCTGCAGAGGGACTGGAGCGCACAGTCCCACTGCTTGGTGCAGACTTCCGGTCCCCCCAACCTGGAGTCACGTCTAAGCTGTGCCAAGCAGACATCGTTATAGTTTGTAACAGCCGGTCACACCCCCGAGCACTTAGCTGGATTTATCCCACAGGATGCAGCAGCTGTGTGATTCCCGGCCAGCCCATGGCAAGACTCAGTGGCTGCTGTGAGCTGTGCCCTAGATGGGCATCGCATACTGATGTCATGCTACTGCGGGGCCATAAATACACAGCTGACTTGTTAATGCCACCCGGCTTAATCATGCTAATGTCCCACTCTCCTAAAACGGCTCCTGTCCTTAGCTGTGGCCATGCAAAATCCAATTGAGCTGGACATCAGAACCTAACTGCCACTTGTCATTTGACAAGCAAAACCTTCTGCAGAATGGGACAAATCATTGCTAAGAGGAAGCAGTTCATTGCCCCCACCCACCCAGAGAGTCCCATTGATTCCTCATGCCCTCCCCAAACCCTTTTCCTCAGTCCCCACAATTTCGAAGAGTCAGTTCTGGTTACCCCTGTCGCTCGTAAGGGGGCCCACCTTATGTTATCCCAGGAAATGGTTGGCCCTTTTTTAAATTGGCAGTAGATGGCTGGGGGAGGGAGGGCAGTTGGCGCCTTTCCCGGCTGGCTCACTACTGTGATCCAGCCCTTATCAGCACTGACATAACATACAAGAATGGTTAATGCACATCTGGAAACATGGGCCGGGGGAGAGTGTTGAAACCCCATTGCTGTCAATGGGGTGAGGTTTTCACCCCCATCTATTCCACAGACTCACTGCATGACCTTGGGCAGATCGTATTGCTGCTCTGTGCCTCGGTTTCCCCAGCTGTATAATGGAGGGGGTAATTCCCTCCCCCCACCCGCCTCATAGGCTCGTTAATGCACATGGTGGTGGTGGTGCTCAGACCTGATGGGCAGAGGCTCTGATGGCTGACAATGAAGCAGCGCTGGACGATCCTGACTAGCAGTGCCAGACTAGCGCGCTTTGCTTTGCCCACAGACCAGATGCCAGCAGAGCGAGTGTCTCTTTGCCAATGCCCCAGACTTGACCTCTGGGATCTGTTCAACCCTTGGCCTCTCTGATCAAGGACACCAGGAACGGCCAGTTGTGAGGCTGCAGTTTGTCACATGAGCTGATGAACCAGTCACAACCTTGCCAGAGCCTGTTACCAAGCGCCCCCCACCCCACCCCCCGGCCCATGTGACATGTAGCCGCCGGCAGCAAACACGAGCTTCTTAGCCCTGTCACCGTAATATAACTGTCACACGGCCAAGCTGCCCAGGGAGGAAATTCCTTCCCGACCCCAGAGCTGCGAATGGATGGACTCTGTGCGCAAGCCTCACCAGCCAGGCATCTGTACTAGCTACGGATGAGACGTTTGCGTTGTTCTGCTGCCCACACCACAAAGCCAAGGGTTGCTGCAGCCTACGTGCCACAGGCTCCCCCCGTAGGGTTTCGTTTTCTGCAACAATGGGCCCCAGCTAGCTCAAGCCAAGCCCAGCATTAAGGTGTTTGTGCTTCGAGGGGTTTAACCAACCCAGCCCCAGTGTGGGGCTCAGCCATATGGCCAGCCCCAACTACCATGGGGGGGCTCTAGCAAAATCATGAGAGTGTCTTAAAAACTGATGGGGTTTTTTTAAAGCTATTTTGGTGTCTTTGCCTTTGTCTTCTCACTTTTGAGCCTGTCGGACAATTCCTGGTCACATTTTTCAAGTTTGTCGCTGCCACTATAATGGCTGGAAATGTACATTTTAAAAAAAGGTGCTCACATTTTCATGTGTTCCCATGACTCCAGAAGCTGGGGCTTTAAGGCTCACCAACCTTAACACAGCACATGTGACCCACTGCCCTGTGTGGTATGGGTCCGCCTCTGGGCCAATCAGCAGAGACTATGAATCGATTACAGGCACGCTTGGGTCTTTAGTACTGGAGGGCTGTGGGTCAAGCCCATCATGTGTCAGCCAAGATAGGTGAGGGTTGGAGGTTGGTACTTTAACCTGGTACCATGAGGGTCCCCTGCAGGCAGGTTGAACTGGCACTCATGTTCAAGGAACACCCAGTTCCGCCAGCTTCTCCCCGCTGCACGCTCTAAGTGTGAGCTGATGGCACCCCCCACTTGTGCCCAACTGTCAGGGAGGGGCAGTGCCCAGTCTGGGGTTAGCGAAGTGCAGAGCAGGCACTGAGCCAGCCCCATAGGACGGGGGCGGGGGGGGAAATCAGGGGGTTAATGGGGTGTTAACATGTTCCTGTGCTGCCAGCAATCTCGCTGGGGTCAGCCTGGCCTTGGCCCCACCTGCAGCCATCTCCCCCATCTTGGGCCTGAGCTGGGGGCTCCACCTTTAAGCCCGGCCTCTCCTGGGCTGGACTCATACTGGGGCCCTCTCTTAGGCGGCTGCTGGCAGCTACCTCCTCCGGTCTGATCTCGTCTGGGGTCTCTGTCCTCCCAGGGCTGGGCCAGGTGGCCTCACCCTGCCCCTCATAATCCCACGGCTGCAGCTGGCAGGATGAACACCCAAGGGAGGCAGCTCAAGGCTGGCACAGGAGCAGGGGAACGGCTCCCATGTTCTCCATCCCACCCCCTTCCCACACGCTGACGGGTACGGTGCCCCTGCCGACCGCCCCCCCCCCCCCCCGTACCTTCTCCAGTCTCCCTGAGCATCGCTGTGGGGCCAGCAACCACTGCAGCCGTTGTGCCTCTGCCAGTGGCCATGCCGCGGGAGCCGCTGGAGGAGGGCCCCACGTCCCTTGGGAGCTGCCCGGGAAGCCGGCGTTGGTGCCTACAGCATCAGCTGCTTGGGCTTAAAATAGGCCGGAGAGGAGCCCATGCCACGGAGGAGCTATAAATAGAAGGGGAATGAGCTGGGGCGGGGGCGAGATGGGCTCTATTCGGGGAATGCTTGGGATGCCACCACAGCTGGGGGCAGCCGGGGGAAGGGGAGGCAGCCAGCCTGGGCAGCAGCGTGGGCTGAGCCAGATCTGGAGCGGGGCGGGAGGGCCACGAAGCAGTGTAGGTCGGGGGAAAAGGGGCCCCAGCCCATGACTTGTCTCAGACCCTCCTTCAGAGCTCTGGAAATAGTTAACCCCATGAGACCCATATCCGCTTCATGGCTGGGAATGAGAAGGGCTCAAGCCTTCTGGAACACCGTCCACCCCCGATAGGAGCAGGGGCAGGGGACATCCCCCCCAACTAGTCTGAGGCTGGAACTGGAGGGGCTGCTATGGCGGGGTGGCCTGTGTGACTAGGGACTGGACTTGACAATCCAGGAGGGCCCTTCCAGGCTGATGATCCAGATTGGGGAAACTGAGGCACAACAGAGCAAGTGACCTGCCAGAGGGTCTGCAACAGCACTGAGGAAGGCAAACCTGGTGGTTAAGGCAGTGAACTGGCACTCGAGGGACATGGAGGGACTCCCAGTCACTTAGTCCCTCCCTGTGGGAGGAAGAATAATTCTGCCTTGTCTAATTACTTTGTAGGGACTGACTCTCACTAGGGGTGGGTGCAATGGCTGGTGAGTCCCTGGCTCTGGCTTGTGTGCTCTGCCCACTAGAGAACACTGCCTCTCACGTGAAACCGTGTTACTGCATCGTCTTCCCTGGGATGAGGGCTTTTGCTGGTTCCAGACACATCACATCAGTTGCGGAGGAACATGACAATCCCATCAGGGAATGGGAATTAAATCAGATTACAAAAACCCCTGGGGTATCCTGGGGAAAGCTTGGAGACCTGCACCCTCAATTTCCCAGGCAGATCCCATGGGCCTTGCACATTCAGCCTCCCCCACTATTGTCAGTGGAAGTTGGACATATACAAAAGCTGCAGGCTGGCATTTGCTTGGTGCTATGCAAAGAGGATGACCGGCACCCCAAGCAGAGGGCCAGCACAAAGCCAAGGTACTCCATAAGCCCTACCGTGGGGTTTCAGCGAAGCACAAGCTTGGTGGGGCCCCTCTGCGGGGGAGACTTACACCCAGAGTGTGGGGAAGGTGGCAGGTTTCTTTGAATCAGAAAACCAGAGTTCACCTCATCTATCCTGGACAGCAACTTGCTCCAACTCCCCTCTGCTGAGAACTCCAATCACTGAGCAGCTGTTGGTTCATCCTGGGCACTACATAAGAACCTGTGACCCCCACACTGGCAGAGGGCACAGAGGGGGTGCCTAGGGGTTTACAGGGTGGCATGTGAGGGCTCTACCAACGGTAACGCACTGGTCCTCTTAGCCACTGTGAACTTGCAGGTGATATGTAAGGCATGATGGAGCTAGGCTGGAAATTCTGACCTTGAAGTTAAAAGCAGGTCGCCAGGTGGTGACAGGCCTGGGACAGATTCTGCTCAGCCAGGGGGCAGGAGATGCTTCCCTCTCTTTGCCTGCTCAGCTGTGTAAGCAGCGGGGTGTCCTGCTTATGAAAAAGAACAAAGGCATGTCCTGCCTTTCAGCCTTCACAGAGGAGACAAGTAAAGCGTGTGGCTGGGTCCATGAAAAAGGGCTGGCAGGGCTGCCTGGCTGGAAAACGCTGCAAAGACGGGTGAGCTTAACATCATTATACAGCACAGTGTTGACCAATCTATGCCAGTAGCACATATCTATATATAATATTAGTCAGAGCATAGTAACGGCACCATGCATTAGCTTGCACAAATAGCCTTAGGCACAGCCAGTTTTATAACCTAAATTGGCCTATACCTTGGCTCTAATACTGCCCTCCATGCGATGTAGCCCACACCACCTTGCAGAAATCAGGTTTTGGCTTAAGCAAATAGAGACGCTGTTGAGCTCAGGTCAGAGGAATGTTTTGCCACAGCAACAGAAAGGGAGTTACTCTCCCAGGTGAACACAGCCTGTCCCAAAAGAGGAGGACAGGACATAAGATTGTTCTACACCAATTGTTCTACACCTAGGAGGTGCCTTCATGCCCCAGGGTATCTGGAATGCCTGTGTTCAGAACAAAGCGATAAGGGGTACAGCATGGTACCAGAACACAAGACACAAAGCTGAGTGGTTACATGTAGTTTCCCATGTACCCTGTACTTGTAACCAGGCAGGATACAAACCGAGGGCTGTAACCTTGGGAGCACACTGGCTGTGTGAGGTGAACAAAACAAGGCTGCACAAGCCAGCTTCCTGGAACTGTACTGAACCTTTTCCCTTTTCTATATTCTTCTTGGCTTTTAGCAATAAATCCACTGATACTGGGTATTTGATCTCCTGACTCTATTTCATGACGAACCAAACTGTGGTCAAGCAATGGCCTGTGTAATTTATCAACACCAGTATCTTGTTAATTAAATCGCGCTCCAGAAGGCTTTTATTTTACATGTAATGCCATGGTCCCAAGCTTGCTACTTGCCAGCACTTGACTCGTTGCTCTTTGGTAAATGCACTTTAGCGCGTGTGTTCACTACAAACATGTCTAAGTGCTGTGTGTGTAGGGGGAGCTGGGGCGTACTGTGAATCCCACGAGTGGCCAGTGGACCAGGGGTTTGGCACTCCAGAGCCTATCACAAACCTACCGAGGAACAGCAGAGCCTGCATGGCTGGCGAAGCCAGGGAGCTGACCCCTGGCGGAGCCCAGACAAGGTTTCCTCACACTAAGGGCAAGTGGTAGCAAGGGTCCTCACAACCTTGGGTACCCCCAGGAAGCGTCACAGAGCCTCTAAGCAAAGCTCCCAGTCTGGGCAGCAGAGAAAGACACCAGCTTTACACAGTTAAGGCTTTAGATAAGTTATATTGCATTCACATGGAGGTAACACGTATCATTCTGGTTCATTTAATCCTTTGGGGTGGGGCTAAAGAGTGAACAGGGAGTGGCCAGAGTGGAAAAGGCGTGGTGTGATTGTACGCACAAGCTTTTCACTTTAATTTGGGGGTGGGAACATAATAAATACTGCTGGACTGTGATTGGCTGAAATCCTTTCCCTCATCTGAAGTCATCTTAATGGACTGGTTTTAGTCGGCCATTAATTGAAGCTGTAAGAGTGGGGCTGGGGGTCTGATCATGTCCGGGCTGAAGCCATGGGGAGGAGAGACCACGGTGGGGCTTCTGGGGATGTAGAACATAGAGATGTGACCATGCCACACAGCTCAGCCATCCCCAAGGGCTCAGGAATTAAAAGCCAGGGGCCAGTCAGCGAGAGCTGACCCGCTGCCAAGGCATGGGAGCCCATGGCTCTTGGCTTGCTCCCCTCACTAGAGCATCTGATGGCCGCGACCCATCACAGCTCACCCCCAGCCCTTTGCACAGTGCCAGGGCCCCTCTTGAGATGGCAGCAAGAACATGTGCAGCTGGCCCTGTTCCAGAAATGCAGTGGTTGGGGGAGGGGGGGGGGATCCGGCTTAGGGGCATTGGGGGCAGGGAGGAGGCCAGGGGTGGGGAAGTCATGCTGCCTCCTGAGGATTTGGGGCCTTTGAACTGTACCATCCTCCCTGCCAAACTCCCCCACTGCCTGTGACTTATTGCCCGAGGCAGCTCCTTGCTGATCTACAGGCAACTGAGTGCCCGTTACTCACTGGCCATTGTGGCTCTCGCTAGCCCTGGCTCTCAGAGGAGATAAGAACCTCCTACGAGGAGCGACTTATGGAGCTACTCCTTTAGCTCACAGGGTTGGGGCATGTGCTTTGGGGGCGGAAGGTGCCCTGGTTCTGTCTCTGCTGATGCAGCTCACATTGGGTGTGTTCCACGGGGCTGGATCTCCCCTGGATGAACTCGTCTGAGACTGGGCATCTCCTCCCCTTTAAAGGGGCTATCCCAGCATGGATTCATTGATCGTTTTATTTGTGGGCGGGAAGGATAGATTCTTATGGCTGGACTGGGCAGTCCCGGCTGATCCCCTAGGAACAGTTGATCATCCTGTGGCAGATTCATCCGTCTAGCCAGGAATAAAGGGCATGTCAGTGCAGGAATTTCCACGACCACCACAGGCTCCCTTCTCCCCGGGTTCCATGTCTGGGGACCTGCTGAGGTCCCATGAGCCACCCCCTGATCCAGGCGGTCACCTGAGCTCCATCTTCCCCTCGTAGGAAGGCTTAGGGCAGACCTGGGAGCCCATCGTGTTTCTGTCCCGCACTGCGATGCAGATGTCCGGATACTGGGCCGGCACAGTGCAGTCAGGGCCCCTGCTGGGCTCGGTCCACGCCTGCTTCTCACAGCTGGCGCCCGTCCATCCGCGGTAGCAGTGGCAGCAGAACTGCCCCCATGCCCTCTGGCCCGGCTTGTCCGTGCCCAGGTGATTGGTCAGCATGGGATCCGCTCCCCACTGCTGCGGGCGGAGGTGCAGGAAGGCTCCCAGCTCGTCAGGGTGCTGCCTCACGCACCGTCCACGCCCGTGACACAGCTGGCGGCTGCACAGCTGGGCCGCCGACGTCACGTTCACCACGTAGGGCCCCAAGGTGTGGGTGATGTAATGGCGGAGGCTCCTGCAGCTCTCCTGGGGGGCGGAAAGCCACATTTACACCCAGTTCCACTGCAGACGCTGGCATGACCGGGGAGCAAACACTGCTACCTGTCTGCCCCACCAATGCAGCCCAGCCCTGCCCTAGAGGGACCCCACCTCCAAACTGAGCTGGGTCTCAGGGGCCCATTGGCTCGTGGGCCTCCTTGCCAAGAAAGGGGAGCAGCCAGTGCCAGCTATGCAGGGCCCCTGGGGAAGGGATCTGAGAACCCACACACTCATCTCACACCCCTAAGAGTGAGTCCCTCTTCCCAGACACCTCCTGCACAGCTGCTTGCATTACGACTAACACACAGGTGAGTAAATGCAGGCATCGGGCCACGTGGATGGGCACCGTTCATGCCACATGGACAGAGGGCAGCTCCACCAGAAATGAACGTACAGACTATTTCAGCTCTTTGTATCTAGGTGACAACCCCCTGGGTCTGCTGAGGGCCTGACCAGGGCGAACTGGGGTACTTACGGCTGAACGGGAGTAGGAGTTGTCCCCCCACAGTGCCAGGCCGGTGGCGCCGAGCGCTGCGCTCTCCCCAATCGTATGGACCAGGTCAGCCTGACCGAGAAAAAAAGGGAACAAGAAAGGGACATTTAGACAAGGAACATTTGGGCACCAACTCTGGCACCAGTCGCTGGCGGCATGTTACCATACAGTGCTGTTTGCTTTGCTGGTCTCATGGCACTGGCATCATCTGTGTGTGTGTGAGAGGCAGTGCCCGTAGGATCGGTACCTGCCTGGTTCTGGACAGGTGCAGCGTGGTCCTGAGGGCGCCCACGAGGCGTGAATGTAATGTTTATGTTGGCCTGCAGGTGATATTGGTATCCCCCATGACACTGCATGTGACCCCAGTACAGCACAGCCCTATGGCACTGTCGGGGCAGCACGCGAGCCCCTGGCCCCACCTGCACTTGGCAACGCCCCTCATTCAGTGGTCAGTGTCACTGATGTGCAATAAGCCCCAAGCAGAAATCAAAACAAGCCGGGGTTTGCACTTACTGAGGCTGTGTCTACACTACAAAGATAAGTCGACCTATGTAAGTTTGACTTACAGCCACCACATCAAATTACTGCGGTGGCTGATGTTCACACTGCCCTCCTTCTGTTGCTGGTGCTCGTCCTCACCAGCAGCGCTTCCACTGACTGAAGAGGGGCAGTGTGGGGGACTGAGATCCAGGGAGGGGAGACTGTGCAGCTGAGGAGCCAGGAGCCCACTTTCATGTAAATTTCACAGCTCCAGCAGAGCCCTGAAATTGACAAGATGGCCAACAGCAGATGTTACTCCTGAGGGAATTCTGTGCAAAAAAATTAAAAATCCTGCATCAAAAATGTAAAAATTATGCATACCATTTTAACATTTTGCAAATTTTATTTGTCAATAAATATATGTGGCTCCAGCATGGGAGTGGGGAGCACAGGCAATTGGCTGCATTGAGGTGAGAGATCATCCTGAAGCCCCCACTTTCCCCAGTACAGCAACTGGCAGTGAGGCTGCACCTGACCCTGACACAGTGCAAGGGCTGGGCCTGCCCCAGAAATGCTTCGGGGCCCTGCCCCCCTGCCAGGCACAACAGGTGTGGGTGGGCAGGCTCAGCCCAGCAGGATCAACTGTGGAGAGGCTTAATGCAGGGGGATCCAGGTGTGGGTGAGAGGTTTCTGTGTTGGGCAGTCTGGGTGCGGGCGGCTCAGTGGGAGATCTGGATGCACAGGGGCTCGTTAAGGGGTTCCGGGTGCAGGAGCAATGGGATTCTGCAGGGGATCCAGGTGAAGGTGGTTGGGGCTCAGCAGGGGAGGTCTGGGTGAGGGGAGATGGGACTCGGTGGGGTGTCTGGGTGTGAAGGACTTAGTGTGGGGGGATCCGGGTGCTGGGGGAGTGGGGCTTGATGAGGTGGGGGTCCAGGTGCAGCTGGTTGGGGCTCAGTGGGGTGAGGGCCTGGGGGGGGGCTTGTCGGAGGGGTCCAGGCGGAGGGGGGTAGGGCTTGTCAGGGTGGGGTCCGATGGGCCTGCTTAATGGGGGAGCCCCAGCTGCTGCCGAGGGGATGCTGCATGCCGGGCTCCCACTTCCCCCCTCCGCAATTCCTCTATCCCCTTTTCTTCTCCATTCCCATCCCCTCACTCCCTCCCCTCCCCCTGCCCTATTCCACACCTCCTTTTCTTCCCTACTGCCTCTTCCCCCACCCCATCACTTCCCTCACTCCCCATTACCCAGCCCCACCTCGGGCACTCACTGTTGCCCAGAAAACAGGAAGGCTCCCAGCACACAGAAGGGGAGCCCAACTGGCAGTAGGACCCAGGAGGCTGCGTTCAGCGGCAGTCAGCGGAGCCCAGATGCTGCCTTCTTCAGCTGGGCAGCTCTGCACTTGCACAAATGAGTGGGGGCAATGGCATGTAACCCCATGTACCCCTCCTGCCTCGCCTCTGTTTGGGGGGGGCAATAACACCCCAAAAACGACACCCATGATCTACCCCCCCCACACACACCCCCTCCCAATGCATAGCTTCCCTTTAGCTTCCCTGGCATTTTCTGCAGGGAAGCACAGTCATGCAGACTCCCCCCAGGAGTAATCAGATATAAGGAAGGCAGTGTCTACACAGACACTACCTTGTCCTAACCACACAGACATAAGCCTCTCATTGAGGTGGCTTTATGATGTCAGCATAGCAGGGGAGTTACATCGGCGGGAGGAGTATTTCAGTGCGGACACCTACACTGTTTTGTCAACAAAAGCTGACTTTCCTGGACAAAACTGTGTAGTGTAAACAAGGCCTGAGCCAACTGGGCGTATCCTGATTACAACAGCCCCCACCCTTGCTAGCTCCTGGCTGTCCTAGAGGTGCAGCTTCACCACCTGGTGGCTAACGGTGGCTGACCCAAGGCTATTCCCAACCACCAAGAAGGCTGAAATCTAGCGATGAGCAGGATACCAGGCACATGGATCTCCAGCTCTGGTTCTTTCCTTTGCATCCCAATCCCTGGCTCTTACCTCGGACAGGTACCTGGCAGAGTGCCGATAGGAGACTCGGGAGTATGCTATCACAGGCAGGGGCTGCTCCAGGCCAAACCGTGCCACCCGGAAGGCCTCTTGCAGGCGGTGGTGGACGTAACTCTGGCGCTCGGCCGGCAGAAGCTTAGGTGGGAGGTAGATGCTCGGATAGAGGGCGGTGGAGGCCTCCCAGAGCCACATAAGCCGGTTGTTTCGCAGCACCTCCATGGCATGGCACTCCCCCGTGTAATTCCCCCCCTTCCTCCAGTTATCGTTGAAACAGTCAGGGAACCTGTAGAAGCCCCACAAACCCCAGCGCCTCAGCTTCTTCCCCAGCACCAGCGTCCTTTCCATGAGCTCCTGGGCTGCCCCCTCAAACTCTTCCTCGGCCAAGTAGGCTCGCTTCTTGGCGCACATCTCTGGGAACCTCTCCTGGACCCACTGCTCAGAGGCCTCCTTGTACACTGCCTTGGGGCCCCAGTTCCGTCTCCACAGCGGCCTCCACTCCTCCCAGTCGACCACAGCCAGCCCGTGGAAGTCTGGCTGCAGAAGCTGGGTGATCTCCACTGTGGCCCTCTCTAGGTGCTGCTTCAGGCGGACTTTCTGGGGGATCCCCCCATTGTGGTGCTCGCCCTCCGGGGAGATGTACGGGTAGAGTCCAAATTTGTTCTTGTAGAAGATGGTCATGTTCTGGCCCTGGAATGCGTTGCCTTGGTTCTCCACGATGGTGTAGTCCTCGAGAGGCAGGGCAACCCCAAAGCGCTGGTGGCACCGGGCCGTGGGCATGTTCCACACCACCACAAACGGCTTGTGCTGGAGAAGGGGGCCGGTGGATGCACTCTCCCAACTGCTCCCTCTCGAGGGTGGGATGGCTCCGAGGCAGAACAGGACCCAGGGCCAGACAGTTAGGCCCAGAGTCATGGTGGACATTCTGCAACTATGTCCGGTCCAGACCCCCTCCTGCTTCCTTCTTGAATGAACACCCTACAAGGGGAGAGCAAATCGGAGGCAGGGTGAGACCAGGGAGCCACACCTGTTCTAACATTAAGGGGAACAGCTTGTTTATGGCTTCCTCTCTCAGCCCCACATCCTCTTCCTTGAGCTCCACCCATGACAATGGGAGCAACCAACACAACTTGCACCCAGGACAGACTGTGGCAGGTCACCCTGGAATGCTGGGGAAAGTCCCCAGCCCATGTCACCCATGTTGGGCTAAGGAGGACCTGATGCCAGCTGAGAACTGGTCTCTTCTTGATACATCCTGTGACTGCCCAAGGTCGGCTTGTGGTTGAGCCCATTGGGGCTCCAAAGGGCTACTGGAGAGGACAGCTGTGCAAATTATGCCCCAGGACTGAGAAGTATAAAACCCCATGGCTTAGTTTGCTCTGGGTCCCTCCTCGTTCTTTGTTTTCCCTTCCAAATTACAGGTGTAATGGGTGTTGAAACCTATAGGTGGTGTTTCTATGATTGTATCAGTGCATCCCAGTCAGACTTCAGCCTGGGCTTTGTCCACCCCCATGATGCTGTCTCCCCTGTTTCCTGCCATTTGGACTGGACCTCACCTCTGACCCGGCCTTCCCACCAGATCGCACTTGGACCAGGGACTTGCCCTCCCAGGGAAACAGCCAGAAGTCCCAGCTGACACCAGTGAGCAGCATCACCCCTGGATCGGTGCCCCAGGAAAGGAGTCCCTGCTTGGCCCGTGTGGGTGCAACTCCCAGGTTGGGATGCATGAGGGGATCTAAAAAAGAACAGGAGTACTTGTGGCACCTTAGAGACTAACAAATTTATTTGAGCATAAGCTTTCGTGAGCTACAGCTCACTTCATCGGATGCATTCAGTGGAAAATACAGTGGGGAGATTTATATACATAGAGAACATGAAACAATGGGTGTTACCATACACACTGTAAGGAGAGTGATCACTTAAGGTGAGCTATTACCAGCAGGAGAGCAGGGACAGGGAGGGGGGGGAACCTTTTGTAGTGATAATCAACTGCTGGAAATGGCCCACCTTGATTATCACTACAAAAGGTGTTTCCCCCCTCCTCCCACACTCTCCTGCTGGTAATAGCTCACCTTAAGTGATCACTCTCCTTACAGTGTGTATGGTAACACCCATTGTTTCATGTTCTCTATGTATATAAATCTCCCCACTGTATTTTCCACTGAATGCATCCGATGAAGTGAGCTGTAGCTCACGAAAGCTCATGCTCAAATAAATTTGTTAGTCTAAGGTGCCACAAGTACGCCTTTTCTTTTTGCGAATACAGACTAACACGGCTGCTACTCTGAAACCATTATGCGAGGGGATCTAAGGCTCCTAATTCCCAGTGGAAGCTGGGAACCTTTGTGGATCTGGGCCTTAAGCTCTTTGGGGCAGGGAGTGTCTCTTATTACATACAACTGGCAGAGCTGACCCTAGGGTACAGCGAATCAGGGTGACTGCTCTGGGCTCCGCGCTTTGGGGGGGCCCCACAGGCCGACACAATTGGCCAGCGCAGTTGGTCCCAGAAGTGACGGGTTGGTCCCAGAAGTGACAAATTTGTCACTTCCTCCCCGGGCCCCGCATTCCCCTAGGGACGGTCCTGTTTATTACGGTCCTGATCTTGGAACCCTCCTACAATGAAACATCCACATTCTTGTCTTCCGCCGTCGCTCTGATCTGCGGCCAGGGCCTCAACGGCGCGTGGCTAAGGGCAACGCTGGGTTCTCTCTGCTGGTGCCCCTCCACACCAGGGTAAACAGACAGTCCTGCATGGGCACCGAAAAGCTCAAGCTGGGGGAACCTCCTAGGGGGAGATTTGCAGGCAGGGGTGCAAGTAGGGTGGTACCCTCCAGTACGCAGTACTGGCAAGAGATTTTTAGTGGGTACGGGGTACCAGAAAGACTTGGGGCTAGCCCCACCCATCCGGAGGGCAGGGTGGGGCTGTGCTCTGCCCTTAAAGGAACAGAATGGGTCTAGGGAGAACATTCATTCTTTAAATGGCTTTAACAGCACAATACATATGCTAACAAACATAAACAAAGGCTTTGTTTAAGTTTGTTAGCATAGGTATTGTGCTGCTACATTGGTCAGGAGTCCTCAAGGGGGGCGGGGGGATGGAAGGTATTTAAACAGTGTTTTTGATTCTGTTTCTCCCCTTTGATTCTGTTTCTCTCATTGGTCTGAATTATCCATGACATTCATACTGCATCACATCAAGTCCAAATCATTAGAGGAATGCCTTTGTTTGCACTGACCAGAGGATGTTTGGACTGTGATGTCAGCCCAGTTCTGCAGCCTGGTGGGAATCAGGTGTTGTACCCAGTGTACCTAGAATTCTTCTTTGCAGCCAAACTAGTCTAACATGCATTTTGTTACCTGGAACTGGAGCAGCAAAACAAAGAAAACAAATGCCTCATTTTCCAGCTTTGTGGGTGAGAGTACGATAGGTGAAGATTATAATGCTGGACACTGACAGCCTTAAACCAGCTGCCTCAGGAATCTGCCAAGAACTTTGCTGAAAATACGTTCCTCATCTTAGCAACGGAGCTAAGATTTATCACACATCTGCCTACCTTTATTTGAATGAAGCTCCTTCTGATCTGCCAGCTTAAGCATTGTCAATTTCATCCAGAACAATTTACAAACTTGGAGCCTAATCCTGTAAACCCTTAATCATTTGATCAATTCCATTGAAGACAATGGGACTATTTGCATGACTGTGGACCACTTTTGTGGACTGGTAAGAGTTTCAGGAGTCTGTTCCTATAAAAACAACAAGGAGTCCTCATGGCACCTTAGAGACTAACAAATTTATTTGGGCATAAGCTTTCATCGGCTATAACCCACTTCATCAGGCATCTTGTGAAGTGGGTTATAGCCCACAAAAGCTTATGCCCAAATAAATTTGTTAGCCTCTAAGGTGCCACAAGGACACCTCACTGTTTTTACTGATACAGACTAATACGACTACCCCTTTGAAACCTGTTCCTATAAAGCAGAGGTGGGCAAACTGCGGCCCAGAGGCCACATCCAGCCCTCCAGATGTTTTAATCTGGCCCTCGAGCTCCCACCAGGAAGCGAGGTCTGGGGCTTCCCCTGCTCTGGTGCTCCAGCTGGGGAGCAGGGTCGGGGTCTTGCCCCACTCTGCATGGCTCCCAGAAGCAGTGGCACATCCCCCTTCCAGCTCCTATGCATAGGAGCAGCCAGGGGGCTCCGCATGCTGCCCCCACCCCAAGTGCCACCCCCGCAGCTCCCATTGGCCGGGAACCTCTGATAGTGCCTCTGCATAGGAGCTGCAGGGAGGACATGCCGTTGTTTCTGGGAGCTGCTTCAGGTAAGCGCCGCCCAGAGCCTGCCCCCGACCCCCTGACCCCCTCCCATGCCCCAACCCCCTGCCCCAGCCCTGATCTCCCTCCATCCTCTGAATGCCTCGGTCCCAGCCCAGAGCACCCTCCTTCATCCCCAGACCCACCCCAGAGCCCGAACCCCCAGCCGGAGCCCTCCCACCCCCCAACCCCCAATTTTATGAGCATTCATGGCCCGACATACAATTTCCATACCCAGATGTGGTCCTTGGGCCAAAAAGTTTTCCCATCCCTGCTGTAAAGGAAGTTGAATCCCGCATTGAAATGCAATGTTTGGGTACAATACCATAAAGCAATTAAGGATACAGTTCTACTTAAAATTTGTCTTTTAATAAGTCAGACGTGCTGAAATGGCTCCTCACCCAATTCCCATATTCCATATAAACAGACTGAATACTACATATGTGTGGGGAAAGTGAGTAGGTAAGCATATTGATGTTTGTATACAAAGCGGGGTGTCAGAAGGGACGGGGAGAGCATGGGATCCCTGGGCTGGGGGCGGGGCAGGGAGGAGTCACATGGAGGGTCACGCGGGGAGGTCACGTGCCCCCCCCTTGTGTCCCTCCCATGAATGCAGTACCAGCAAGAAATTATTTCTGTTTCCACCACCACTGCAGGGAGCAGTTAGGCACCACTGGGAGTTGGGCGCTTCATGCTCAGGCTGCCTGTAAGATGCAATACCAGTGGGGAGCGTTAAATCTCACGCTCATGCACAAGCCATGCCACTGCCCCCGTCCCTGCCCCTTGGCGGCTCTGATGCACCCTCCCTGCGGTCACTCCAATGGCCAGCAAGACGAATGCAAGCTGGGGGAAGGGGTCCAGAACTTCCAACTTTCCCCACTTAAGACCCGATCGGATGCCCACTGGAATCAGCAGAAAGCCTCCAGATGGCATCTATGGGCCTTGGACCAGACCCGGCTGCATGGGGCCAGGGCAGCCAATGCCAGCTCACTTCTCCCCAGCTGCAACAGAGATATCTTCGGAGAGAGAAGATTAGGAACCAGATCAGTCTCGGGTGCCGCGTGACAGCCCAAAGCCATGTTCTAATCCCCCCAGAATGCACTGCCTGGGCTCTCACTGCCTCCCAGCACCCCAGAGACAGGCTCTAATCCACCCCCAATCTGCTGTGCAGAGCTCAGTTACAACTGACCTTGTTGCTTGAATATCACCTACCTTTTCCCCAGTCTATTTTCACAGCTCTGATAATTCTAGGTCTGCGTTTTCCCAGTACAGACACTCCAACACTTATCTATACACTGCACTTAGCACCAGAAGCCCAGCCCTCCTGGGAGACCCTATAATAACAAACCCAACTGCAACACCCAGCACTTGCAAGCAACCCTACAATAACAAACCTGTGTGTGTATAGTCCAGCACTTCCCAGCTACCGTACAATAACAAATCCACGTGTGTATAGCCCAGCACTTCCATGCAACCCTACAATAACAAACTCACCTGCAATATCCAGCACTTGCAAGCAACACTACAATAACAAACCTACGTGTTTATAGCCCAGCACTTCCAAACAATCCTCCAATAACAAACCCATGTGTGTATAGCCCAGAACTTTCAAGCAACCCTACAACAACAAACTCAAGTGCAACATCCAGCCCTTGAGATCAAGTCAAAAATAACACCCTGGTGTGTGAATTCCAGTGCTAACAAATGACCCTGCAATAGCAAACCAATGTGTGCAGCCCCTGTGCACCCGACAACCCTACAGTACCAGTGTGCATGTAACTAGCCCCTCTTGAGCCCTTAGCGGGGTTTGATCGATGGCACTCGAAGCGCAAGCACTATTTGAGCTAAAGAAATACCTTAGCAGGTATTTCTTAGCAGGCAGCTGGAGTAGACTTTTAGCCTCTTACATGACCAAGCCACTAGAGGGGGACAGAGACACAGTGTGGGTTACATGTGAGGTTGAGCAACTCTGCAAAGACCAGTCTCTGGCTATAAAGCACACCATCAGAAGCAAGTTCCACACAGACCAGGACACTCCACCTCACACCTGCCAGAACAACAGATGCAAAACCTGCAAACATATCTCCACTGCTACAATGATCAACACAACACCCCCACCCCCACCCCGTCCTCACAGCACACCTTTCAAGATCCACGGGTCTTACACATGCCAATCAAAACAGGTGCTGTACCCCATCCAGTGCACTAAATGCCCCAGTAGCAACTACGTGGGTGAAACCAGGCAATCACCATGCTCTGGAATGAACTCTCACAGGAAAATGATAAAAGACAAAAGCACCCTATGGCTGAACACTTCTCACAAGGCGATCTCTCTTTGTCTGCAAAAAGAAAAGGAGTACTTGTGGCACCTTGTGAGCTGTAGCTCACAAAAGCTCATGCTCAAATAAATTGGTTAGTCTCTAAGGTGCCACAAGTACTCCTTTTCTTTTTGCGAATACAGACTAACACGGCTGTTACTCTGAAACCTCTCTTTGTCTGACCACTCAGTCCTCAGCCTCAAAGGAAACCTGCACAACACTTACAAGAGACGAGCCTGGGAGCTTAAATTCATAACGCTGCTCGACACTGAAAATCCAGGACGGAACAGAGACAGACAATAGATTTATGGCTTATCACAACAATCTGTAACCCACTAACAACCCCTCTCAGCTGCTTTCCCCACTCTGACTGCAGGGGTGTTGATGGGCCACCGCACCTTGAGTGGTCCCTTGAAACGTGTGTTAACGACTTATGCTAACTAATTGTTCAGATCTGGTATTTAATTGTGGCAGTTTGAGGAAGAGCTCTGTGTCACTCCAAAGCTTGTCTCTCTCACCCACAGAAGTTGGGACAATAAAAGATACTCCCTTGCCCGCCTCTAATCTCTCATGTCTAATGTCTCTCTAATATCCCCTAGAGTCAGGGAGCACATGGGCATGTGATGGGGAGGGGACATTTTTGCTAAGGAAGACTCCAAAAGGAGCTCAGCAACATCTTTAGATGGGGGGATATAACAGGCACCCAACAGCTTCAGCAGAGATGCTGTGCTAGCCGAAACATTGCCAGGTCAGTACGACTGGCCCCACGGAGCTCACACAGTGCAGTGCTCCAGGGATGTACAGACAGCTGTTCCACACTCGGAGCGCCTCAGGGGGCTGGGGTATTGACAGGCCAGCATTCGGGGTGGCTGACGTCCCACCGGGACTCATTCTCATTTCCCCCACCTCACCTGAGGGCCCTTTCCCAGCAAGCGCCACAGCAAACGAAGATCCCAGCGGCAGGGTGTACGGTGTGAATGATCACGTGACTAACGATTACTACATAGTACACAGCTGATGACTCTTGAGGGTGATGGGGCAGGGCGGGATGCAGCAGACTGATCTCAGCCACTCTCTTCCCCAGTTCTCCCGGGGTTGTCACTGGGGTTCAGAAGAGGTGCAGCTACAGCCACCTTGCATGTCAATAGTGCTTCCCCGCTAGAGCTGCTCCCCTCCCAGGTGCAGGAGGCTCCTGGGGGTTCCCCTCATCACACGGGAACATGGGTCTCTGCAGAGAGTGCTGCCTCCTACAAAGGAGCCTTGATCCTGGTGACTCCAGTGGGCCCACGACAGAGGTAGGGGTTACCACCCCAGAAGTGGCTGCATTTCATCAGTGGGGGAAGTGACCCCTGTATAGTAACCATAGGCCAAGGAGGCCAGGTTTGGTTTTTCTTGAGAAAAAATAGGGGTGGTTCTGATACTGGTTCCCAGTATCAATCCTAGTAACAATCCTAAGAACGGCCATAGTGGGTCAGACCAATGGTCCATCTAGCCCTGTCTTTGGTAGTGTCCATGCCAGGTGCTTCGGAGGGAATGAAAAGAACAGGGCAATTTCCGAATGATCCATCTGCTGTCGTCCAATCCCAGAATCTGTGGGTTTAAAGACAGCCAGAACATGGCATTGTGTCCCTGGTCATCTCAGTTAACAGCCACGGACCTTGCCTCCATGAACAGATCTAATTCTTTTGTGTGTATAGAGCAGTCCCTCGCTAAGCCCACTGCCCTACACACACACACACAAAACCAGCTGCTTCTCCCCACCTCTCAGCACAGCTAAGAGCAGACAGAGCTGTAGCAAGAATTCACATTACCAAGACTTCCCTCTGGTTAAGAAACAAGTTGCCAAATGGTTCCCAGCATATCACGAAGCAGCCTCGTGAGTCAGAACCCACCAAAATTGCCCCAGCTGTTGGATCAAAGGCCTTTTGGAGAGGCACTCGCCTGGTCTGCTGAAAGTTGCATTTATTCCCTTCCTTTCAAGATATGCTTTTGCAATGGGGTTTCCCAGCCATTAGCCTGGGGAAATTCACATCTTAGTGGCGCCTGCATGAGTCCATTGTCCCATCTAGCACATGCCCAGTACAGGATCATTTGCAATTAACCCCTGGAACAACTGACCAAGGGTCATGGTCCTTCTCCATCACAAACAATTCTTAAATCCAGATTGGCTCTAGGAATTATCATGGGGCAGTTCTCTCACCTGTCATGCAGGAGGTCAGCAGATGATCACGAGAGACCGCCCTGGCCTGGAAATCCACGAGTCACATCACACAGTTTGAGTGACATAGAGGGGTTGGCGAATGGGGCTGGAGCTAACCCTTACTGCTCTCCCACCTGTATATATAGGGCTTTAGCTCCACCCCTATTTCAATTAACCCAGCCCCTGGGAGGGGCTTATTTTAAAATGACCCATTCTCCAGTTTGGTTCCCCACTCCAAAGAGAGAGAGAGAGAGAGAGTCAAACTAGATGCTGGCAACCAAAGAGACAAGGGAAGAAGTAACAGAAGAGCGATGGGTTGGAGGACGCACCCTCCAGCCCACCTGTCCTCTCTTGAACAAGAAGGGTGGCACCTCCTTGATGCCAGCTGGGATGCCCTTCTGACACCCACCCACCATCCCTCTACATAGAGCGTCCCAATAACTTCTTCCGGTCCGCCCGGTGCCTAGTTATAAATGCCTCCCAAAGGATCTGTTTTCAGCAAGACAGTGGCCACCACTGCCTTCTCCCCGTGTACCTGACACATTGAAGATATTCTTGTCTGCCCTGTATGGGCGCCTGCATATGACCGTCGCCCTGGGGGTCTGGCTGTGAGACTGATGGCCTAGCAGTGGCCCAGGCCCTCCCTGTATCTCAGCTGGAATGTGCCTGTTATTAGCTGCAGTAGCTCAGGGTGCTGGCAGATCCCAGCCCAGGGAGCAGGTTGTGGGGTGGGAGGGGCCCTGAGAGAGAAAGAGACATCTTCCCCTCTGCGCTGGCCAGACTCCTGCAGTGTAGCCTAATGGGTCAAGCACTGGAGTGGGGCTTGCAAGGCCTAGTTCTACTCCTAGCTTGGACAGCTGGGTGACCTTGGGCAAGTCACTGGCCTCTCTGTGCCTCAGTTTCCCCATCTGTGAAAGGGGGCTAATGATCCTGATCTCCTCTGTAAAGGACTTTGGGCTAGATTCACAATAGGAGTTTAGACACAACTGCCACTTTAGACACCTAAATCTCAGAATCAGGGATTCACAAAACCCCCGCTCCACTGCCCCCACCCCCAATCTCTGTAGGTACCCAAACTTGTTCAGCACCGAAAACTTTCAGGGTAAAAGTTCCCTGGGCACTTCTGTTTCTGTCTGTGAGCATGCCCTGTAGCCCCAGGCCACACATCCAGACACCTATACCTCAAAGAGCGATCCACAAACCACAGGCACACCTCTGCCTCGCAGGTGGTGAGATCAGCGCCCTGCTGCTTAGCCAGCCGTGCCGCTCTCCTGCCCTAGCTGAATCCTTGCCTGCTCGCATTGGGCTGGAACTGGGCATGGGCTGCGCTCCTGTGCAGACCAGCCAGGCGTGGCACAGGTGTAACCCACCAGAGCTTCGTCACCAATGCACAAGGACCAGCCCCACACAGATTTGTTAGAGGGGCTCTTAGCTGATTGGCCTTGGACCCACAAGGAGCAGGCCTGGGGAATCCCTTTGCAACCATGCTTTCAGCTCCAAGCCCCATGTCCCATATCTAGGCCTCAAAAGCCTTCCCCACTGGCAATGGGAATAGAGTAGGAGGCCACTTGCTGATTTCCCCACCCCAGCAGCTTGGGGGCCCCTATCATAAGGCTGGCCCGGCTGCTGCTAGAGATTTCTCCAGCTGCTTCCCCAATGATCCAAGGAGGCAGCTCGCATGAGTGTCTCTGCATCATAGATTTGCAGGGTCTCTCCACAGAAATCCCCTTCTGGCTGGACCAGGAGAGATCCAGGCTCCCTGATTTACCCATGTGAACATGGCAGATGGCCCAAAAGGGAATGACTGGGATTTGGACTCTCCCCCACCCCATGGGAGTTTGTGGTAGGCCAATCAAAACTAAAACAACCAAGCAGTGGGTAAGGCGGGGGCAGGGGAGTTCTCCCCAACCCCAACTTTTAATCAGCATCCCATTAGCACACTGTGCAGGAATCAAATGTCCTTCTTCATCCAGAAGATGGGGAGCCCTCTGAGGTCGCGGTACGGTGTCTCCAGCAGGGTCTGACCATAGGGATCCTCCCCTGGTGAACTGGAGGCGATGGGGCCAGGAAAAACTGGTTGGCCTAACAGAGGGAGGTGGCATGGTGGAGGACCAGGGGGAGGGGACAGAAGGTGTGCAGAGCTTACATGGGCAGCTGGTGGAGGTAAAGGGGGAGGTGGAGGCAGCCCCGCAGCAGCGATCCTGCAATGGAAAGGGGAAGCATGGGGAGGTGAAGGTGGTAAGGGGAGTGGAGGGGGAATGGCAGATTGTGAGGAGTTTAAAGAGCAGATCGGTGGAGACAGAGATGGCGGCAATGGTGGCAGAGGTGGTGGTGGGCACACAGTGGCAGTGCAGTGGGCAGGGGGTGTGGAGGACGGTAGTGGAGGTGGGTTGGCTCCTGAAGTTCTGCTGTTAAGATGGGAGGCGGTGGGACTGGGCTTTCCCGGTCCCCAAGCAGGTGCTCTAGTGTGAGGATGGGGGCTGGAGAACATCTGCAGGAACTCCATGGGGACCACGGAGCTCATGAACCCCATGCTCTGCACCGGCTCAGATGCAGTGTAGCCCAAGTGGGCATAGAAGTGCTGCTTGTCATGTGTGGTGAGATGCAGGTGCCTGAAGCCACGGGACTTGGCGTAGCTCTCGGTGGCTTCCATCAGCTTCCGGCCATACCCCTGGCCCCGCAGCGCCCTGGAGACCACAACCGTTTCCACAAACAAGCTCTCGGGCTGGCTGACAACACGGGACAACCTGGCGTGCCCAAGGAGCTGGGTCTTTGCCGTCTTCCCTTCCTCAGCAGCCTCTGTGGCCCTCTGGGTTCTAATCAGCACCAGACACATGGGGAAGTTGTCTGTGGACTTCTGGAGTGAGTACATGCGAGAGGTCTTGCTTTTCTTCCACTCTTCGTTGATGAGCTCCGCGCAGACCTCCACCAGATCCGGCCTCTGGTGAAGGGGAACTGCCGTGAGCAGCTCCGAAACCGAGCCCATTCTTCCCACTGATGGGAGAACAAGCAGGCAAAGCTTTGCAAGTCACAGAGAGCCAGCACCGCTCTCCGAAGCCACGACACACCTGGGCGGGTGCACACAGCCAGATGCAACCCTGCTGCTGGAATTCCAAGGATCACCGCAACAGGCCATTCCCACTGGCCTTGGGCAGATTGCAGTGCGGCAGGGAGACACCAGGCCCCAGGGGAGGAAGAGAAACTCCCAGAGGCAAATCCAGCCTGGAGCACACCCAATCTTCCAAGGGTTCAGTACGTGCTATGGGTCATCTTGCGCCAACAGCTGATGGAAACAAAGCAATTGGCAGAGCCGTCACTGCCTCACTCCATCTGGCACCTGGAGAGTTTATTCCTTTTAATTTTTTCCATTTCTGGATGAGCATTTGAAAATCCACCCATAAAACTAGCCCTATAAATACCACATCTATTAGAGGAAGGGGTGCTAAATGGAGCAGGAAGGTCCCAGAGGAATACCTGCTGGGTCCCGGAGCTGCCAGAGCCAAGCTGCGCTGGTCCCCTTCCTTGCCCCAGCAAAGGGTTATGGGCCAAAGAGTGCTGGGCTCCAGCTGGTCACACCTGGTACATGGCCCCTAGGGGCCAAGGACACAGCATGTAGATCCGAGCAGCCCCAAGGATGCTCTAGCTTAGAATCATTGAATATCAGGGTTGGAAGGGACCTCAGGAGGTCATCTAGCCCAACCCACTGCTCAAAGCAGGGCCAATCCCCAACTAAATCATCCCAGCTAGGGCTTTGGCAAGCCTGACCTTAAAAATTTCAATGGAAGGAGATTCCACCACCTCCCTAAGTAACGCATTCCAGTGCTTCACCACCCTCCTAGTGAAAAAGGGGTGGGTGACATCCAGGGGTGGGTGACAGCTGGTCCAAGGGTACATGGAGGGTAAAGGTGGCCTAAAGCTATCTCAGGCCAGGCGCCTTGTTCCTGCATAGATAAAGAGGAGTGGGGACTCCGCAGTCTGCGCAGGAGATCGGACTCTGCGGCTGGTCGAGTCCTCGCAGACCAATGGGGCTGATCAGTGCCAACTGCGATGCCAGGTTCTGTGATCGGGACACCCGTCCGAGAAGGACCAGGCTGAGAACCACCAACTCATTGCAAGCGTGCCCTTGCTGCCCACTTGAGAGAAGGCCACAGCCCGACCATCAGGACAAGGAGGGAGAGGGCTGTGTCAGGTTGGGCTGGGCGAAGTGGGCCATGCCAGAAGCACAGTCCGTTCCAGATGGGCACCGTCTGTACCAGGCTGAGGAGGTCCCTGCCCCCTGTCAGCTTTGGCTTGTACCGAGCTTTAAACCCAGGAGATGGGTTCACAGACCCCACCCGCGCTGAAGCTTGGAGCCTACTTTAATAGAGGCTGCCTGTGCCCCCCAGGAGATGGCAGCAAACCATGGCATACGGGGTACCTCTCCTGTGTGCCAGCTCATCTCATAGGCTGCTGTTGGGCAGCTGGATTGGACCCAAACAAACCACCTGTGCACCCAAGCTAGGGGAAAAGGAGCACAGTAAAGGCTGCACCTTGCCAGTGGACAGTTCAGCTAGAGCGTCCCTGCCTCCCAGAGTCACCCCACCCATTGGCACTGAGCCAGCATGTGACAGCACGGCAGATAGGCCTGGGGATGGCTGTGAAATCCTCACCCTGCCCCCCCCCCCAACTTCCGCTCTGGCTGGGTCATGAACCTTGAGAAATTGCAACATGCACAGTCACCACCACGACTTCCTCTGAGCCATCCGCTCGCTGGATTTAGAGGCGCCTTGAGAAGACCCCAGCCTCTCCCAGCAGAGGGCGCTGTAGGAAGGGTCAGGAACGCTGGCTGGGGGAAGCTCCCAGCTACTCCAGCCCTGGCCTCTCCCAGCAGGGGGCGCTGTGAGGAGCAGGGCAGGGAGCACTGGCTGGTGAGGGGGGGTCCTGGCTACTCCAGCCCCAGCCTCTCCCATTATCAGAGCACAGGTCTGCAGGTTGCTCAGGCCAGCACCTTTCATCAGCACTAAAGTCACTTTAAAAAGCCCTGCGAGGAGACAGAGCAAACACTTGCCAACCTCTGTCCACGGCCTACAGGGGCCAGCCTACCCCTGGGACCACTCTGGAGACGCTGACCTCGCGTTCATCAACGGGGCCTGAATTTCCTGGCATTGGCAGGCGCCTTTCCCCCTGGCTAGTTCCCCTTCCTAGGGGCTGGCGGGCTCTGGGAAGCCACAGGCAGTTTGCAAGAGGAACCACCACCTAAGCAGTTTTCTCAATACAGTCAGATAGCAACAACCATGCTTTCCCGCCAGCATCTGGAGACACAGAAGGGCCTGGCCTCAGCAGGCTGAGCAGCTCGATCCTGAGACAGGCTAATGTCTCGTGACCTGGGACAGCCCAGATCTGACTGTCCTGCACCCCATAGTAGCTGCACAATCCACCCTGGTGCAGCCAACCACAGCTCAGATCCCCTCACCCTGAGCCACAGCCTCATCTCCGGGGCTTCGTTCAGCTTCATATTAAAAGGCCCAAACAAGGGAGGCACCCTGCTCTGGGGAGGAGCTATCGCAGCCTCAGCCATCTCTGCAAACGAGCCCCACTCTCCAGCCTGCCTTTGCCATTGCTCCATTTCAACCTCATGATGAGAATCAAAATATCCATAAAGGCCCCGGGGGAATGGCATTAAAGCCAATGCATCCCCCTTTATGCCAGGCCCCCTCTCAGGCCTGCCAAGAAGAAAGCCAGCCTCCCATTCCCCACTGCAAGCTAGGTATCACCCCCACTGGGGAAAATGAGGCATGTCCAGAGCCAGTAGTGGAGTTGGGAAGAGATTCCAGGAATTCCTGGCTCCCAAGCACAATGGTGATCGAGTCAGCTCTGTTAGCCGGGGAGCATGTTTTTGCTGGGTGTCCACTCACCCTGCCCAGCATCAATGCTCGTCGAGCTCCTGTGCTCTGCGTCTCCTCCCTGCCTGGGGATCAACTCAGAGCTTCTGCTCTGACTGGGGCCCCGGAGACGCTGTCCAGCCTCTTTCACAAGTACCTCACAGGAAGCTGCACGTTCCCCAGCCAACCACAGACACCCAGTTCTGCTTCCCAGCAGTGAATGACGTGTCTGTTTAAACACAGGACAAGCTGGCCCACGGGCCTGGAATGGAAATTGGTGTGGACCAGCCCCTCCCCAGTGCTGGCACGCAGCCCCGTAAAGCTCTGCTCGCTGGGGGCTCCTAAAAACCAGGTAGGGCACGACAGGACTTCAGTTCAAAGGTGGCTGAGTTGGTGGGTTCTCAGCCTGATCTCCCCATGGAGCCATCGTATGGGCACAAACCAGCCCCTTACGGGCAGCCTCAACACAAAGGCCAAGAAGAAGGGTGGCGGTAGAGATGGCGTTCCCTCCACAGCTATCAGTGAGGGGAGCGCTTGCCCTGGTGCTGGCGGAGCTAGACCTGGTCTCTGGGGCTTCATCCCGGCACCTTCAACCTCCAATAAAAACAAGACCCCAGCACAAAGGCCTGGGGCATACAAAGGGTTAATCCAGGGAGTATTCCCTATAGTACCCAGCACACTCCCCTAACTGCTATGCCCATACACGAGACCCTGGGGCACCAAGCTTCAGGGCAGCAGAGTGGGGAGGAAGGAGGACCAAGCTCCAGATAGGCTTGCCTGTCAAGTGAACCTACCTGGCCAGGGTCCCAGCTGGCACCCACACGGCATAGCCAGGGAGAAGCTCACCCTGCCGGGGTCCCAACGGGCACCCGCGGGGGGCGGGAGGGTGGTGGTGTTTACATGGCTCAGAGCACAGAGATGGGCTGTGTCTGTGCAGCCTGGGGCAGTGTGGACACACGCCTGGGCACGCGGACAAATCCCTGCAGTGTCCCTGGAGAGAAGGGGGCCCAGCTGCCCCCTGCAAACATTCCCTGGCACTGGAACAGAAATTAGAAGCAGACGAGGGGGTTGCTCCCAGGGTCAGACAGAGCCATGGGGCTCCCATCCTGGGGGGAGTGGGTCAGCCACCAGGGCTCCCCCTTACTCCTGTAGGGGTGGAGAGACCCCTCCACAGCAAGTACAGCTCCACTTCCAGGGCATCGTACCTGCCATTCAGCTCCCCTGCTCCAGAGGTTCGTCCTAATTCTCCGTCTTTGGATCAGATCCCTCCCTGCACCTGGCCCAAGAAGCTGCAGCCTCCCCTACTCAAGGTATGAGGGAAGCAGGGCCCCAAGAGCTGCCTGTCATTGTGCCCCTACCTCAATGAGCCCTATGGGGTTTGCAGGGGTGCAGAATCACCAAGGTGCAGATCCAGCTCCACCTCATCCCACCCCCATCTGCTCCCTTCCTCTAGCCCTTCTGCCCAGGATGGCCCCTGTGCCCAGAGCTGCTGCAGACGAGGTGTAAAGGCCAGGGCTATTCCCCAGGGGCTGACGCCTGCCTGGCACAGCCCCTTGGCATCAACCTCGCTGGCACAAAGGGCACCTGATTCCTCATCGCCCTGTGCAGCCATTTAAGCCAGGGCAAACTCCCTCATCGTGACCGGGTGGCGCTCGGCACCCTCTGTGAACTGGCACAAAGAACTACCTGGGGCGTAAAGGAGAACCAGGCCCCAGAGCACGACTGGCACAGCCCAGAGCGTTCACACCCTTGGGGGCTCTCACCACTGTGTCCCCGTCTGCTTCCACGGACATGGGCTGGCCAAGCTTCCTGCCTTTACCACCCGGAACAGCTCAGGTGCAGGGCAGGGCCCTACCCACTGGCGCTGTTGGCTGAGCACTAGCAAGAGCTGTGGGTAAATATGGGGTTTCCCTGCCCAGTACAGACCGGGGTTCTTTTGTCTGAGATCCAATGGGTCACTAGACCCACCATCTAGACGGTGCAGGGAGACAGAACCACCCCAAGCATGCCTGTGGGTTCAGTCCCCAACTGCTGGGCCTGGTCACAGCCCAAGCGGGGCGCTATGGGGCAGGGCCAGGGGCTCCCCCCTACTGCCAGGCCGGGTCACAGCCCAAACAGGGCGCTATGGGGCAGGGCCAGGAGCTCACTCTGCCCCCCCAGCTGCCAGGCCGAGTCACAGCCCAAACGGGGCGCTATGGGGCAGGGCCAGGAGCCCCCCCCCCCCCCCCCAGCTGCCAGGCCAGGTCACAGTCCAAACGAGGCGCTATGGGGCAGGGCCAAGGGCTCCCCCCCCCAGCTGCCAGACCGGGTCACAGCCCAAACGGGGCGCTATGGGGCAGGGCCAGGGGCCCCCCCCCCAGCTGCCCGACCGGGTCACAGCCCAAACGGGGCGCTATGGGGCAGGGCCAGGGGCTCCCCCCCCCCAGCTGCCAGGCAGGGTCAGAGCCCAAACGGGGGCGCTATGGGGCAGGGCCAGGGGTTCCCCCCCCCCAGCTGCCAGGCCGGCTCAGAGCCCGAACGGGGCGCTATGGGGCAGGGCCAGGGGTTCCCCCCCCCAGCTGCCAGACCGGGTCACAGCCCAAACGGGGCGCTATGGGGCAGGGCCAGGGGATCCCCCCCCCCCCAGCTGCCCGACCGGGTCACAGCCCAAACAGGGCGCCATGGGGCAGGGCCAGGGGCTCCCCCCCCGCAGCTGCCAGGCAGGGTCAGAGCCCAAACGGGGGCGCTATGGGGCAGGGCCAGGGGTTCCCCCCCGCAGCTGCCAGGCAGGGTCAGAGCCCAAACGGGGGCGCTATGGGGCAGGGCCAGGGGTTCCCCCCCAGCTGCCAGGCCGGCTCAGAGCCCGAACGGGGCGCTATGGGGCAGGGCCCCGTTTCCCCGCCGTTCCACCCCCTCGCAGGGCCCCGGTACTGACATGGCGGCGCCGCGCGCTGCTGGTCGCGCGTTCCGTCCCGTCGCTCTCCCCCGGCGCCAGACACAGCGCCGCCTGCTGGCCGGAGGCTGCCGAGCGGCGGGGGCTGAACCCGCTCCTCGGCCGTGTGTGAGGGGAGCAGCTCCCCGCGCTCGCTCCGGCCCGGCCCATGGACCCGGCCAAGCACATTGATACCCGGCCCAGAGAGACCCGGCACGGCCCATTGACACACCGCACAGCAGGGACTAGTCTTCTGAGGCCCGGCCCATTGACACAGGACCCATTGACAGGCGGCCCAGCCGATTAATACCTGGCCTGGCCCATTGACACCTGGCACAGGGCCCATTGACACCCCATCCGACCCAGCCCTTTGACACCTGACCCAGCTCATTGACACCTGGCAGGGTGGATAAGCATCAATGATTTTTTTTTAATCAGCTTTTTAATCGGATACGGTCCACCCAACAGAGCAGATGTCACAGGCAAATTGCTGGATAAAGTGTATGAAAGAGAAATTGATCAGTGTGCAAAAGGTCTAGAGGGTGAAGTTGTTAACCTGAGTCTTGATGGGTGGAGCAATGTCCACAATGATCCTGTTGCATGTGCTTGTGTGACAACAGAGAGAAGGGAATGTCTTCCTTACAGAAACAACTGATACATCAGGAAATGCACACACAGCAGAATACTTACAAGAAGTAGCAGTAAAAGCTATAACAAACTGAAAAAAAAATCAAATATCTAGTACGCAGCTTGGTTACAGGCAATGCTGCAAATGTGTCCAAGATGAGAAGAAATTTAGAAGAGAGTGAAGAGAGTCGCAAGCTAACAACATACAGTTGCAGTGCTCATTTGATGCACCTCCTAGCCAAAGACTTGAGTGTTCCAGATATAAAGGCTAATGTTGTTGAAATTGCAAAACACTTCCGTAACAACCACTTTGCAGCAGCTGCTCTGAAAACAGTGGGAGGAACCAAGCTAACTCTCCCACAAGGCGTGCGATGGAACTCAGGAGTGGACTGTTTTGAGCACTAGATCAAGAACTGGCCTAATCTGATGACAGTTTGTGAACAAAATTGTGAAAAAATAGATGGCACTGTCACAGCCAAAGTTCTCAGCTTTGGGCTTAAGAGAAATGTTGAACACATGCCGAGTACCCTGAAGCCCATTTCTGTAGCCTTGAACAAAATGCAGAGAAATAGCTGTTTTATTGCTGAAACTGGTGAAATTTGGAAGGAACTGAGTGAGATCTTAAAAAAAAGAAATATGCAATGACGGAGTTACATTACGAGCATTAAAAAACCAAATGGGACAAGCACTATCTGCAGCTCATTTTCTTGCAAATATTCTCAATACTTGGTACCAGGGTCAAACCTTAACTGCTGAAGAAGAGGAGTTGGCTGTGACATGGACATCCAGCAATCAACCCTCCATAATCCCAACTATCCCTCCATAATGCCAACTAATAAACTTCAGAGCTAAGGGTGAACCATTCAAGAAATATATATTTACTGATGATGTTTTAAAGAAAGTCACACCAGTGAACTGGTGGAAGTCATGTAAGCACTTGGATTCAGAGACTTTTAAAGGGATAATCTCACTTTTAACAGCAGTAGCTTCTTCTGCCGGTGTAGAAAGAATATTTTCTTCCTTTGGACTAATTCATTCCAAATTGAGAAATTGTTTGGGACCTGAAAAAGCAGGAAAGCTTGTTTTTCTTTTCCAGATGATGAACAAACAGGAAAATGAAGGTGAAGACGACTGAGTTAGCTGCAGAAGCCAATATTTTAAGTTTCTCATGTTGACCTGGCTGACATAATTGATTTAATTTTTGTTGGTTTTTTTTAAATATTTCATTTAACTATTTTAGTTAAAAACAATTTTAACAAAAACAAACCTGATTTTAAAAAACTTGAATGTTTAACTAAATTCAAAAATTCATATGCTTCTTTTCTTAAAATATTATATGCTTGCTGTTGAAGAAAAAATCAAGAATACATAATGTTGTTTTAGTTAAATAAAACAATTTAAATGTCTGTCTTGTGATGTTCTCCTCCTAATACAGCATGGCAAGAAAATCCTCCAAATATTAATGATTAACCTGTTGAATTGGAAATAGTTCAACTCCCAATGACTTCATAAATATCTGCTTCGACTACCTTTGGTAAATGAAATAACAAACAATCATTCATTTTCTGATATAGCTGTAAAACTAATCTGAAAAGTTTCCAAAATAAATCACTTTAAAAATGTATAGTGTGTACCTTCTAAAAATGAAACCTACATCTGTCTCTGAGTTGTGAAGAATAGGTATTAAGGTTATAGCAACCAACAAGAATGCACTTTTATGTAGAAATCCATGATTAAATCAAGTCTTCCTGACTAATGATTTAAATAATGTTTTAAATCAATTTGATTTAAAGCAAATCCACCCTGACACCCAACCCACTGACACCCGGCCCGACCCATTGATATCCAGCCCATAGAAACACGGCCTGGCCCGTAGACATCCAGCCCAGCCCATTGATACCCAGCCCAACCTATAGACACCCAGCACACTGACACCCAGCCGGGCCCATTGACACCTGGCCCATTGACACCTGGCCCAGCCCATTGACACATGGCCTGGCCCAGCCCATTGACACCTGGCCCATTGACACCCGGCCCAGTCCAGTCCTTTGACACCCGGCCCAGCCCATTGAGACCTGGATCATTGACATACAGCCCAACCCAATGACACACAACCTGGCCCCACTCAGCACATTGACACCCGTCCCAGCCCATTCACACCTGGCCTGGCCCAGTCCTTTGACATTCAGCTCAGTGACTCCTGGCTCAGCCCAGCCCATTGACATCCAGCCCAGCCCACTGACATCCAGCCCAGCCGACTGACACCTGGCCCAGCCCAGCCTAGCCCATTGACACCTGGCTGGGCCCATTGACACCTGGCACAGCCCAGTCCTTTGACATTCAGCCCATTGACACCCAGCCTGGCCCATTGACACTCAGCCCGGCCTGGCCCAGCCTGGCCCATTGACATCCAGCCCATAGACACCCAGCCCGGCCCGTTGACACACAGCCTGGCCCAGCCTGGCCCACCGACACATGGCCCAGCTTGGTCCATTGACACTGTTATGTTGATAAAAATACACAGGATCTTTTCAGGGGACAAGGCAATATGCCACGTTTATTATGAGAACACAATTTGATTTATAACCAATAGCTAATACCCACATACACATACACACACACACACACACACACATCAAATATTCTGCAGCTGCTGTATAGTTACCAGTCCTGAATGTAGCCTGAGTCCATAGCTTGGTTTTGCAGCTTGGGTTCGCAGCTCGTGGTGGCTAGCTGGCCAGGAAAGCCGGGCACGAGAAAGAGCCATGTCTCTTTTGGGCGCACACCGATTCCCTTTGATGTTGGCAGCAGAATGTTACCCAAAGTCTTTCATCCTACCCATTTTTTTTATAGGCCTTAGCTTGAACAAGAGTCTATGGGTCTTGCTGTGTCACGCTGACTCTGGGTATTGTGTGATTGATTACCTTTCAATTGCAGGCGTGACTTTCAGCCTTGGACCTGACTTTGATCTTGTTTCAATTGCACCTTTGTTCTTTTCTTTTAGGTGGACTCTTCTCACTTTGTCAGGGCTGTTGTCTGCATCTTCAGCTGTTGGTGTGTGCACTTCACTTTACCAGGACAGGCTGGGGCTGGAGATTGATTCCATCATCCATGCATACCTCATTCACACATCTGAATTAAGTTAATAAGGTTACAGCAGGGTTTTGCGAAATGGAGTAAGTATTTCAAAATGGAGTTTTAGTTACAATATGGAGTCTTATCAAAATAAGTGTAATGAACAATTTACAATGTTGGGAGGCAAACAGTAAACACGGGTTACAATGTTTCAATAAGCGTGAACTGTGGGGACTTAACAAGTGGCTTTATTGCCATTTAGCTGGTTATTGCGATAGCTGGTTTTATGAATGAACGCTGTTTCATTCATAAAGCTTTACTCATGAAGTTCTGTTCGTTCATTTGATACAAAATAAAATCATATTAATAAAGTCTTAATAATAATAGTAATTAAAAAGAAACTATTGCATTCTTCAGCTCTACAACACCGGGCCCAGCCCATTGATACCCGCCCAGTCCACTGACACTCATCCCATTGACACCTGGCCCAGTCCATTGACACAGAGTCTGACCCACTGACACATGGTCCATTGACACCCAGCCCAGTGACACCCAGCCTAGCCCATTGATGCCTGACCCGGCCCAGTCCTTTGACATCCGGCCCTGCCCAGTCCATTGACTGGCCCTTTGACACCCAACCCATTGACACCCATCCCAGCCCATTCAAATATGGCCCAGCCCATTGACACATGGTGCATTGACTCCTGGCTCGGCCCATTGACACCCAGCCCATTGACATCCAGCCCAGCCCAGCCCATTGACACCCAGCCCTGCCTATTGACACCTGGCCCGGCCCAGTCCTTTTCAGCCCATTGACACCCAGCCCGGGCCAGTCCTTTGACATCCAGCCATTGACACCTGACCTGGACCTAGACACCTGGTCCGGCTCAGTCCTTTGACATCTGGCCCATTGACACCTAGCCCAGCCCAGTCCTTTGACCTCCAGCTCATTGATACCGTGCCCAGCCCAGTGCTTTGACATTCAGCCCATTGACACACAGCCCAGCCCATTGACACATGGCCTGGCCCAGCCTGGCCTGGCCCAACCCACTGACACCCAATCCAAAGGCTTTGATCTTAAGGCCCATCAATATGGTCTCCTGCCCCCTGTTTAGCAGTTAGTGCAGCAGCTGGAGTAGCATCCTCCCAGTGACCTGTGAAGCGCTCTGAGGAAGGAGCCTGCTGGCAATGAGGCTCTGTGGACTCGCCTTTCCAGACAGGATGGTGTTTAGTCTGCAGAAGACAAGATGGTGTCTGGTGGGATGCTATTCCTCCTCCGCTCCCAGCACACACACACACACATCAGCCCCTTTCAGTGCTACCGTGTAGATCTGACAAGCCCAGCATTCCATTGACGTTACTTGGGGGAGGGGGAATAGGCACAGGAGTGCTAAACAATGATCTGCTGGTCACTTCCTAAGCCTTGGGTTTGGGAGTCTGTTGATTTCACCTCCTCCGGATGAGCCACCAACTTTCCAGTGTGGAAAGCTCTACCCAGGAGCTGAGGTGTCCAGCTTGTCCCAGCTCAGTGTTTATGAGGGAATTCAACATCGGCTGGGTCTTGGGAGCAAAGCTGGTAACCCTTAGGGTATGTCTACTCTGCAGCTGGGAGCAGCAGCTAGACATGCAATAGCTTCGCTTGAGCTAGTGTGCTAAATATAGCAGTGTGGACGTTGCAGCATGGGCAGTGGTACAAGCCATGGTCTGACTAGCCTGTGCCATAATGCCCACCCTGCTGTATTTAGCTCACTAGCTCCAGCTGAGCTAGCATGCGCCTGTCCATCTGGACTGGGAACTTCACTCCCATCTGCAGTGTAAACATACCTAGAGCCCTCAGTGTCATCCCCTTGCAAAATCACACCTCCTGCAGCTACCTGCTTGCATCCCTAACCTGGTCTTCCTTTTGCTACCCACCCCTCACCAGCACCATGTCATAGAATCATAGAAGATTAGGGTTGGAAGAGACCTCAGGAGGTCATCTAGTCCAACCCTCTGCTCAAAGCAGGACCAACACCAACTAAATCATCACAGCCAGGGCTTTGTCAAGCTGGGCCTTAAAAACCTGTAAGGATGGAGATTCCACACCTCCCTAGGTAACCTATTCCAGTGCTTCACCACCCTCCTAGTGAAATAGTGTTTCCTAATATCCAACCTAGACCTCTCCCACTGCAACTTGAGACCATTGCTCCTTGTTCTGTCATCTGCCACCATTGAGAACAGCCGAGCTCCATCCTCTTTGGAACCCTCTTTCAGATAGTTGAAGGCTGCTATCAAATCCCCCTTCACTCTTCTTTTCTGCAGACTAAACAAGCCCAGTTCCCTCAGCCTCTCCACATAAGTCGTGTGCCCCAGCCCTCTGATCATTTTTGTTGCCCTCCGCTGGACTCTCTCCAATTTGTCCACATCCCTTCTGTAGTGGGGGGCTTAAAACTGGACACAATACTACAGCTGTGTCCTCACCAGTGCCAGATAGAGGAGAATAATCACTTCCCTCGATCTGCTGGCAATGCTCCTACTAATGCAGCCCAATATGCCTTTAGCCTTCTTGGCAACAAGGGCACACTGCTGACACAAATCCAGCTTCTCATCCACTATAATCCCCAGGTCCTTTTCTGCAGAACTATTGCTTAGCCAGTATGTCCCCAGCCTGTAGCGGTGCATGGGATTCTTCCATCCTAAGTGCAGAACTCTTTACTTGCCCTTGTTGAACCCCATCAGATTTCTTTTGGCCCAATCCTCTAATTTGTCTAGGTCACTCTGGACCCTATCCCTACTGTAACAATGTGGCCTCTGGCGGGACACTACTGAGAGTATCAATTCAAGACAAATTGCTTACAGCAGGGCAGTTACAGCTCAAGGCTGGGGGTCCTTTACTACTAAGGCAAACCAAACCAGCCAGTCAGAGAGGACTTCGGTCTCACCTTACTGGCTAACCATAAGTCACACAAGCAATTCCCTCAGACACTCCAGTTTCCCAGTATCACCACCAGTGCCACTTGTTATAGGGATGAATGGTGATGAAAACCAATACCCCAGTAAAAGAAAAAAGGTTCTCTCGATCCCAAAGGACCAAGCCCCAGACCCAGGTCAATATACCAGTCAGATCTTACCCACAAATCACGCTGTTGCCAATCCTTTAGAATCTAAAGGTTTATTCATAAAAAGAAAGACATATGGATGAGAGCTAGAACTGGTTAAATGGAATCAATTACATACAGTAATGGCAAAGTTCTCAGTTCAGGCTTGTAGCAGTGATGTTATAAGCTGCAGGTTCAAATCAAGTCCTGGAGTACATCCACAGCTGGGATGGGTCATTCAGTTCACAGGCCCTGCTAAGACACCTGGACTCTTCAGCTCAAGCTTGCAGTTGTTCATGTGGTTAGATCTGGAGGTCTCCTGTTCAGTTCCCAGGGTATCAGCCAAGAGGGGGCCATCACACACTTACACTTGTGCAAACAAAAAGCCATTTGATTGGCTCTTGAGGGTGGCATGTGAATTCTTTGCATGGTTCTAGTCTGTGATTTATTTTTATTTTGGAATGATCGCTTCAGCCAGGTGCTGTGCATCATTTTGAATTGCACTTTGCTACCCTGCCTGGCGCTGTGTATACGTATGGTGTGTTCCAGGGGTGGGGTGTATCGGGCCACGTAGGGTGCATGGGCCCATGGGGCAGGGGTTGTTTAACAGCCACACTGAATGGTTCAGTGCAGGAGGCTTACACCGCAGTAGCCCTTGCATGCTGCTAGTTACAGCACACATTTTGGGCTATGACTCTCTCCGTTGTGGACATGACAGAGATCTCTATACATGGTACACACCTCCCTGTGAGGTGGTTTTAGCATAGGACAGATCTGACACTTACATGTCGGTTTATGATGGGGTTCCACATATCATGCATGTTTCCTGTCATGAAGCACAGAGTTACACTATGTGAGGGGTACATGACAGAAAGGAATTAACTGCATCCCAGACTGTATCCATATTGGTGTTTGAGCGTGTTTCAGGGTGACATGGCCATGTGGGTGTAATGGGGCCATGGGGGGGGAGAGGGGCATTTTGGGGTAGAGTGCATGGGAGCCATGTGTGTGGGGGGGTTTCAGGGGTTGGCTGTATGGGGCTACATAAGGTGTGTGGGCCCATATGGGGGTGTATATGTGGGGTGTGGGTGTGTCAGGGGTGGGGTGTATGGGGCCATGTAGGGGTGTACATGTGGGCTGTGGGTATGTCAAGGGTGGGCTGTATGGGGCCACATGGGATGTATGGGGCCATGTGGGGTGCATACAGGGGTGTCTCCGCTGAGGCTCTCACTCTCGGTTGCCCTCACGTTCACACCGGGTCCCTGCCCAGCCAGCATAGCACTGGCAGCTGAATTCTTCCACCAGCTTGGCTTGCTCCTGCTTTGCCAGCTGTCCCTGCAGGCGGAGGTGGGGCCAGCTGCGGTGCCTCCGGACAGTGAAGCTGGAGGGGCTGAGGTGCAGGAAGGCATCGGGGTACCCAGCCCGCCGTACGCAGCGCCCATGGCTGGAGCACACCGTGAGACTGCACAGTGTGGCGCTGCTGGTCACGTTCACGATGTAGTGGCCCAGGTTCCTGTCCACGTACTCCTTCAGTGCCAGGCAGGATTCCTGTAGGGGGGACACAGTACAGGCCCAGGCAGGGCTCTCTCAGGGGAGAGGAGGGGCCCATTTTCCTGATGTGCTCCCCTTCCACACAGTCCCCCCGGGACCCACCCTCCCAGCTCCTGAGTGCAGGGGGAGCCAGACCCCAGGGCTCCCACTCTCAGCATCACACACACCTGGGAACTGCTAGTCGCACACCATGCGAGAGCCCCCCCCCCGACATCTTCCCATCATCTGAGTGCAGGAGCATCCACACCCCAGCCAGGATTCCCATTCCCAACCTGGAAGCAGCCGTAGCCCCCCACGTAACGCACCCGTGAGTGACTGTAATCCTCGCTGCCCCACAGCACAACCCCTGAGGCACCTTGAGAAGCACTTTCCCCAATGGTATGGACCAAGTCCTCCTGCAAGAAGCAGAGAATCACCATGAAGATAACAGCTTCAGCTACTAACATCTAGGAGGGTTTGAAGGCTGTTGCATGCATCCTTCCCGCACAGATCTCCCCCTTCCGGCACAACAGGAGACAACCACCAGCACCCGCAGCCTCAAGCCAGATTGAGGAACCTCTGTGGTTCTGTTCCAGGTGAGCGGGGTGGGTCAAAGATAGTGCCATGGCCTCGCTGCCCACATGCAAAGCTGACAGGTGTTAATGACTGCCGGCAAGCGGGGCTTTGATCTACAAACAATCACACTCCAGGTTAAAGCGACCTTTCTGCAGGCTAAAGGGAAGGAGCAATTAAGCCCCTTTATGTAGTGACATAGCTGGAAACAACAGAAGCCACCATCCAAGGCAATGACAAGCCCTGATCAGAAGGTAAGCTGTGCAGGCTGATGGCAAATGCAGGGGCTAGGGGCTGGTTTGGCAAGCTGTGAGGGGGTGCTAGAGCAGAGGTGGCCAACAGGCAGGGAGGGGTCATGGCCCTGAGAGAGCAGAGGGTCAGAGCTCAGTGGGCCCAGCACTGACTGAAGAGGCAGGCCTGGGGATTTCTCAGTAAGGAAACTGCCGGCTGTTTGTTTCTTTCTGTTCAGGGAAGCTGGACTTTGTGCCCATTCTTTGCAAATAAACAACCTGACTCAAAAACAACCCAGCAAGGCCCCAGCTGCTGGCTAACCACTCGGGACCACTGCGGCCACAGCAGTGTAACAAAGACAGATCTCTGCTAAGCTGGGAGGGGAGCGTGGCGAAGAGTTGCTTGAGTTGGGAGTATTTTCTTTCCTGGACGTGCAAGGAAAAGGCAGGGGAATAGCCTGAAACAGGCCAAATGTAGAGAAACCCTCCAGGAGCCCAGAACTTTGTCTTGTGTGAAAGCATCACTCTCCTCTGGACCCATGGCCCCGGATATGGCCCTTGTCCTTCACACATCTCCCGCTGGGATCCCTATGGATCCCCCTTCTGCCCTCCAAGGCTTCTCCACCCCCCACTCCGCCAAATTGACTTCATCCTGCCAGACTTCCTCCCTCTACCCCTTCCCCACCAACAGCTGCTCCTTGGCCCTGGGTGACAATGGTAAGCAATGGGGGAGAGGACCTGGGCTAGAAGATGGGAAACACCCCCGCCCCTAAAGCTGGCCTCTGCCTCTTGCAGCCCCCTTGCCTGGCAGCTAGGGGATGCCCTCCCACATGTCCTGCCTGGTGCCCCCTCTCTCAGCAGCAGTGGGCTCCAGCTCCGACCCCGCAGGCCCCTGGGACAGGCCAGACTTGGGCCATTGGGAGCTCGGCAGAGGTGAGCAGGTGGCATGCCCTGGGGGGGGCCTGGCAATGCTGGGGAGGGGCGGCATCACCTGCGAGAGGAAGTCCTCCGTGAAGTCGTACTGGATGCGGGTGTAAGGTAGGACTGAGAGGCTGCCGGTCCCCGTCTGCCCCTGCACCCGAAATGCCTCGGCCACACGGTGCCGGACGAACTTGTCAACCTGGTCTGTCAGCCGGAGCTCCTTGGGCAGGTAGATGCTGGGGTAGAGCGCCCGGCTTTGGTTCCAGAGCCAGCTGAGCTGCTCATTCCGCTGCTGCTCCACGGCGGGACACTCCCCTGTGTAGTTGGCAGCTTTGAAATCATAGTTATAGCAGCTGGGGAAGCCGTAGAAACCCCAGAAGCCCCCAGGCCGCAGGCTCTTGCCAAGCGCCAGGGTCTGCTCCATGAAGGCCCGGGCGCTTTGCTCGAATTCCTCCTCAGCTTCCTCAGCCACCCTGTCTGGGGGCCAGTCGGGGTGCTGCTCCCGGACCAGCTCCTGGGACTTCTCCTTGTAGAGCTCCATGGCATCCCAGTTCCGAGCCCACACGGGGCGCCAGCTCTCCCAGTCGATCACCGCCAGGCCCCGGAAGCCTGGCTCCAAGATAGCCGCCTGGATGTCATGCCGCGCCTTCCCGAGGTGGGCCTGGAGGCTGCCGTTCTGGGGGACGCCCCCGTGGGCCGCTGTCCCTTCCGGGGTGTAGTGTGGATAGAGGCCCAGCGTGTTGCTGTAGAAGAGGGCGATCTCCTGGCCCAGGAAGGACTCGTTGCGGTTCAGCACCACATCGAAGACCCCCAGGTCAAGGGGCACATGGTATTTCGTGCCGCACTCCTGGCTTGGGGCGTTCCACACCGTGACGAAGGGGCGGTCCCAGAGAACAGGGCCCCCACCTGCCGTGCTTTGAGCCACCGGAGCCAGGCTCAGCATGCACGCCCAGGGCAGTAGGAACGTGGCGGCCACCATGTTGAGCCTGCCTGCCAATGGCTGGCCTCTAGACCTTGAGGCCTCGGGAGAGCTCCTGGGGGCCCTGCTCCTCAAATTGGGAGAGTGAAATCTCAGTGGAAGCCCGGGCAGCCCCCGAGGGATGGGGAAGCTGGGAGAGACGGAGGGTGGATTCCTGCTGCCCCCAGGGGAGCCGAGTGCTGTCAACTTTCCAAAGCTAATTCCTGCTGGCTTGTCACAGCCTCCTCCCTCCTAATAACTCCCAGACTTTCCCCGCAGAGGAGCGAGGGCTGGGATCAAACTGCTGGCTTTCGCAAGGACTTGCGGTGGGAGGCCTGGCACTGGCTCCAGAGCTTTGCCCTCCCCATGACCTTGGCTGACGTGTCAGTGGGTCCTATTCCCTCCTCCACACATTTCTTCCCCTAGGACAGGGGTCCTCAACCTACAGCACGTGTGCCAAAGACGGCACGCGAGCCAATTTTTAATGGCACGCTGCTGCGGGCGTGCAATTAAAAATCCTGCCCGACCTGGCCCACTCTTCTCCCCCCACGGCTCTCTCCTTGCAGGGCAGGCAAGCTTCCCCCTCCCCCTGCCTCTTCCCCCAGCCTGCTGGGTTCCTGCCCCTCCTTCTCTCCCTCCCTGCCACCGATCAGCTGACGGCCCTTGCTACAGAGGGGGAGAGGGAAAAGCGGAGCCGCAGCGCGCTCTCTGCTGCGGGGACCTTGGGGAAGGGGGTGGAATCTGCATAGCCCCTCCAGCCCCCTGCCGTGAGTCCCTCAGGGCAGGGGGCTGGGAGCACCCCACGACCCCAGCCCATACCCCCAGCCCTCTGCCCTGACCCCTGCACCCCCCTCACATACCCCCAGCCCTCTGCCCTGACCCTGAACCCCCCACATCCCCCAGCCCTCTGCCCTGACCCCTGAACGCTCCTCACACACACCCAGCCCTCTGCCCTCACCCCTGCACCCCCACACACCCCAGCCCCGTGCCATGACCCCTGCACCCCCCCCACAACCCCAGCCCTGACTCTGGCACCCCCCACACATACCCAGCCCCCTGCCTTGACTCCTGCACCCTCCTCACACACCCCCAGCCCCCTGCCCTGACTCCTGCACCCCCCACACATACCCAGCCCCCACACCCCATGCCCTGTCTCTTGCACCCCCCCACATCCACATCCCCACCCCCACCCTGAGCACCAAATGGGAGATCCTGCACACACACACCCGCATTCCCACCTGCAACCCTCGCACCAAATGGGAGCTGCCCAGGTAAGCGCTCCACACCCAAACCTCCTGCCCCAACCCTGAGCTCCCTCCCTCATTCTAGCTCCTGGCCAGACCCTGCACCCCAACCCCCAGCCTGCTCCTTCACCCCCAGCTCTGTTCTCAGTGCACTCCCACCCTCAGCTGAGTGCAGAGAGAGGAAGAGAATGGGCCAGAACCAGGGAGAAGGTAGGTACCTACTCTATGTGGACAGGGCTGGGACCCCAGACTGGCAGCGGGCTGAGCGGGACCAGCAGCCGGGACCCTGGCTGGCAGGAGCCAGCGGACGGAACCCCAGACCGGCAGCCGGGACCCTGGCTGGCAGGAGCCAGCGGACGGAACCCCAGACCGGCAGCGGGCTGAGCCGCTCAGCCCACTGCCAGTCTGGGGTCCCGGCCACCGGCCCCGCTCAGCCCGCTGCCAGTCTGGGGTTCTGGCTGTTGGCCCCTTGCCAGCCGGGGTCCTGGCCACAGGCCCGGCTCAGCCCACTGCTGGCCTACGTGAACAGAACCCCAGGCTGGCAGCGGGCTGAGCAGGCCGGTGGCGTATGATCAGCATTTTAATTTAATTTTAAATGAAGCTTCTTAAACATTTTGAAAACCTTGTTTACATACAACAATAGTTTAGTTACATAATATATAGACTTATAGCGGGAGACCTTAAAAAACGTTAAAATGTATTACTGGCACGCGAAACCTTAAATTAAAGTGAATAAATGAAGACTTGGCACACCACTTCTAAAAGGTTGCCGACCCCTGCCCTAGGAGATACCGAACTGAACCGGACCCCAGCATGGCCCCTCCCTCTTTTCCTTGCGCTCCTGTCCTCAGAGAGGGATGAGGTGTGTTTTCCCCATGTGAAGGAAATGCTGGGCCATGCTGCCAGGTCCGCTGCTCCAAAAGGGAAGCAGTTTTTTGCAGATGGGATGGAAGAGCCCTGGGTTGGCTGCTCTGTGCCCAGGTTAAAGATTTACCTGCGCGGGGAGAGGAGAAGGGGTCAAAGGGATAGCATGGGGTCAATGGAACATGGGTCAGAGCTGCAGTGCTAAACTGCAAGGCCAGAATCCAAGCCACAGCAACAAAGACACAGCACCAAGGAAGCTCACAGTGTTGGGGATTAGCTGGCGTGGGCAGGGCACTGCTCTGAGGAAGCTCACAGCTCTAGGGGCTAGCTGGCAAGGGCAGGGTACTGCTCCGTGGAAGCTCACCGCACTGGGGGCCAGCTGGCATGGATAGGGCACTGCTCCGAGGAAGCGCACAGAGCTGGGGCCAGCTGGCATGGGCAGGGAAGGGAAATCATGTCCTGGGGCTGGACGTGGACCATGCCCATATCCTTGCGGCTAATCTCAGTAGCAGAAGCAGTGGCCCACGCTGACTAGCCCTGCCAGGATCCGGTGTAACAAAGTGGAGCCAGCCAAAATTAGCCAGGCTACTTCTCAGGCCACAGGAGTCAGTCCCCGCAGCCCACATGGGGCGGGCCCCTTCCCTTCCTGCCCCACTTCCTGCAGCGTCAGTGGGGCAACTGAAGAAAGTGGAGACCTGCCTATAAATCTCCGGCTGGTGTGATGATGCAAATTGATTGGGGGGAGGGATGGGGAAGCAGGGGCAAGGGCAGAGAGGCTCATGGGAAATGCTGTCCTGAGGTGGTTAAGCTCCACCCCCAAGGAATCCTTGCATCCCCATGCTCTGCACAGCCGCTGGTGCTGAGACTTCACCCCTACCGCCCCAGCTGGGCCGAGGGTGTCATGCTACTGCAAAGCCCCACTGCCACCCAGGGCTTCCGAAGCATCAGATCTGGAAGCCAGAAATATGGCTCTGGCATCGGGCCACCTCCAGGAGAGAGAGCATTTAAAAAGGGGGCAGCCAGGATAAAACACCAGGCCCCGGGCTGGACCCACTCCCTGAAGGACATTTGATCACAGCCTTGCTCTGCCCATGGCACCGTGTCCCTGTGGGCCCAACATGACCGTGCAGGCCCCTGAAGGTGGCTTAGGACCCAGATGGAGCCCACTGCCAGCCCCTACGTCCTGCCGGCTTGGTGGGGCTGGAGAGGAGGGGCTGGGGGAAGCTCAGCTAGAACAATGCCTCTCTCTGAGCCAGGAGCTTAATTTGCTATGAGAAAGCTCCAATCTCTCACCAGCTCTGGGATCCTTCCCCGAGACTGCCTCCTTCCCCAGCCAACGGCCATGGGAGTGAGATGGAGCAGACCCTTCCAACCTGGGATGAAGGGGATGAGTGAAGCTTTCCAGCCTATGAGAGCCTTAAGGGGCAGCGTAATGGGGGGAAGGGGGGCTGTTTCCATCCCAGTAACCACAGCCGGTGTCCCGGGGGAATCTCGGGGGCTGGGGTCTACTCCAGAACATTTCCAGGTGGTCCATCGAACAGGATGGGGGAGGTGGACATGTGCAAGCCAGATGGGCCACATCCCGTACAGCCCTGGTGCCAGCCACCCCTAAAACCGGAGCTCTGAAGCCAAACCAAGATCTGGATCCAAAGCAGGCCATAAAGGGCCAAATCAAAACCCAGGACTGGACCGGACCAGCCCCTCAGGCTGCCTCAGTGTGTATGATGGGGGGCAGCATTGGGGGCTCCAGCCCTGGCCCCCAGAGTACCCTCTTATGGCATAGGGTGGTCCTGCAACAGCCATGCCTCAGTTTCCCTCTCTTCAGGGCTCCTCAATAATTTCACAGCCTGGTTTGACTGTTGCAGTGACTTGGCCCTCTGGCTAAGTCCCTAACAAAAGGTCCATCCCATCCCCGGTATACGAGGCCAAAACCAAAGACCAAACAGTTTTCACACTGGCCTATCTAAGGGTCTGGTTGATCTTCACTTGCTCAGACACTCCTCTGCCTGCTCGCCCTTGGGGTTCAGCTTTTCCCCCTTCCCAGGCTCCCCTCCATTCCCCTTCCCCCAGCTTCTTTGTGCTGGCCCCTGCTCCTTCTTGGGCAGCCACCCCCAGGCCTTCCTGCCTGGAGTCCCTGCTCCCCTGGCACAATATGATTCCCTGCCAGAGCCTTGCCAAACTCTGCAGCCCTCAGCAGCCTTCTCCAGGCCTCTGCCTTCTCTAGCCCAATGGGGTGACATGATTCACCAGTCACATGACTGTCAACATTCACCCCACCTAGGGAGGTGAGCTGGCTGGGTAACAGCTCTGCTGAGCCCCATAGCCTCTGAATAGGCCCAGCCAGACTGATAGTGCAGTGCTGTGGAGTGACCTGCAGGGGGCAGTGTGTGACAAAAGTGCAGTGCTGTGGGGTGCTCTGCAGTGGGGGTATGATAATGGTGCAGTGCTGGGGGGTGCCCTGCAGGGGGAGGTGTGTGATAATGGTGCAGAGCTGGGGATGCAGTGCTGCGGGGTGCCCTGCAGGGGGCAGTGTGCGATAACGGTGCAGTGCTGGGGGTGCAGTGCTGCGGGGTGCCCTGCAGGGGGCAGTGTGCGATAACGGTGCAGTGACGGGGGTGCAGTGCTGCGGGGTGCCCTGCAGGGGGCGGTGTGCGATAACAGTGCAGTGACGGGGGTGCAGTGCGGCGGGGTGCCCTGCAGGTGGCGGTGTGCGATAACGGTGCAGTGATGGGGGTGCAGTGCTGCGGGGTGTCCTGCAGGGGGCGGTGTGCGATAACGGTGCAGTGCTGGGGGTGCAGTGCAGCGGGGTGCCCTGCAGGGGGAGGTGTGCGATAACGGTGCAGTGCTGGGGGTGCAGTGCTGCGGGGTACCCTGCAGGGGGCGGTGTGCGATAACGGTGCAGTGACGGGGGTGCAGTGCTGCGGGGTGCCCTGCAGGGGGCGGTGTGCGATAACGGTGCAGTGCTGGGGGTGCAGTGCTGCGGGGTGCCCTGCAGGGGGCGGTGTGCGATAAGGGTGCAGTGCTGGGGGTGCAGTGCTGCGGGGTGCCCTGCAGGGGGAGGTGTGCGATAACGGTGCAGTGACGGGGGTGCAGTGCGGCGGGGTGCCCTGCAGGTGGCGGTGTGCGATAACGGTGCAGTGATGGGGGTGCAGTGCTGCGGGGTGTCCTGCAGGGGGCGATGTGCGATAACGGTGCAGTGCTGGGGGTGCAGTGCAGCGGGGTGCCCTGCAGGGGGAGGTGTGCGATAAGGGTGCAGTGCTGGGTGTGCAGTGTGGCGGGGTACCCTGCAGGGGGCGGTGTGCGATAACGGTGCAGTGCTGGGGGTGCAGTGCTGCGGGGTACCCTACAGGGGGCGATGTGCGATAACGGTGCAGTGAACGGGGGTGCAGTGCTGCGGGGTGCCCTGCAGGGGGAGGTGTGCGATAAGGGTGCAGTGACGGGGGGGGGGGCTG